TGACGAAGGAATTAAAAGAGATTGATTAGCAATGTCAGTATACATCTTCCTCCCTCTCCATATTCAACCTACATTACCATATTTTCATTTGCGATTACCAAATTAATGAAATTGTGGTAATAATGACGTGAGTTATTAGCAAGTGGCAAGGAAAGGCAGTAACAATGATCGGATGATTGTAACACATCGTTGAAGAACAAATATTTCAGTTTTGTTTCATTTGTTTTTTTTTATATTTTCGAATTGTCGATAAGAACATTCGTGTTATCTGAATAAAGTTTGTATGTGTATTGTATAACTTTGGATGTTTTTATACTCACCCCTAAAGAATGAATGATCAATAATTGTAAATTTGGGGAATTGGATTTGGAGGAATGTAAAATTGGGGAACCGCGAAGAAGTCGACTTAACTAATTCGGACTTGTGGCCCCGTTACTAGCAGTGTACCATACACTGCTAGCAACGGGGCCACCACTCGATTTACTGACAATCCCTTTCAATTTTTTAGTATTATAGAAAGATAAATAATTCTTATTAAAATAAACTTAATATAAACACTTTTGAATAGTCACATTTTTTTATTCTACCACTCATTCGGAACGCAGACTCATCTCAAGAAGAATGAGTAAGAAACTTGTGTTGCTTATTACCGTAATACTAACAAAATAATTCAAACTGAGCTCGCAAAAAAGGCAGATATTGAATACAATAGTCTAAAAATGTTAGGACACTTGATACGGCACGATGAATTGACAAAAATTATTATTGAGGGAAAAATAGAAGAGAGAGGGAGGGGAAGACCAAGGCAACAGCTACATGAAGCAAATTAGACAAAATGGGAGTCGTGTCGTATCAACATTTAAAGACCATGATGGAAGATCGTGGAAAGTGGCAAGAGCTCCACCGAGAAGAGCGTAGCTTTTAAATTATAAATGAATGAATAGATCGCAATCAGACGGGTACCAACAATGTCAGTAATAAAAATAATGTGTCAAGATAAATATTTATTAAGCAACCAAAAAAATATCACAAACATTTGATCTCGTGACTGATACGTACACCGTTACAATTATAACTTAATATTATACAATTTGAGCTTTGCATGCGGGTTTTTATCTGTATCTATGTCTGTAATAGATTCTACATTATATGCAAAAGATCTAACCAAATTAGTGTTCTGTATTATTAATGGTAGAAACTTAGTGAAGTAAAATTTTCAATATAAAAAAAACGTGGACATGTAAAAATATTTTTAATTATTTTATTATTAATATATGTCCAGCAGTGGACGTCTTCCGGGCTGCGATGATGATGATGATGATGATGATTATTAATATTTTATGTATGGATCGAACGAATGTATAGGATAAACAACCATTTATTATAAAATATGTGCATTACATACATAAAAAAAATGTATTGCTTGTTTTGACATAAAGTATGAGATATTAGTATATATATCTATCTATAAATGAAAAAAAGTATTAAAATTAAATTTAGTAGTAATTTAATAGATAAGTTTAATAGGTAGCTATTGTTATTTAGTTTAAATAAAAATGATTCGTAGCTATCCTAATTCATTGACCACTATTTTGGTTAGACCTTATAAACTTCAATTCTCATTATAGCATTAAAATTCCTGAAATAGGAACATTAAGCTATGGCACTGTCCTATGTTACCTAACAAAAACGTATAAATGCAGTAGTTGTACTACTACCGTTGATTGCAATAGTACACAGTTGTAGTATTCATTGGAATACTTAAGTACTTATTTAAATATAAAAGCTAGCTGAGGTCTTTAAATTACATACGTTTTAATATAAAAATGTTGAAATATAAATCTTCTGGTATTAACAATAAGACCCATTCATATTGGTTATCCATAAATAACGGGTTTTCTTTCTTAGTGATATAAGTGCATATAAAGCCCGCCACCTCACACAACAATTTCATCTTAATCTAATTACATATAAGGCGCATAATTACACGGCCATTTTAACACGTGCGACGTAATTCTTATATTGCATAATTAAGACTTATAATATGTGCATATATATATTTCAAAACTGTACTAGAAAACCCAAGGCTTGGCTTGTAGCATTGTAGCTCACTAGCTATCTTATGACTTCGTCTGCTTCTTTTGACATCATATTCTACCCGTCCTCGAGATTCAATCTATCTTCATGTCAAATTTCATTCAGATTTGTTCAGCTTTAAAAAGCAGTCCTCTCGGTCTGCTTTTTACGGTATCTCTACCGACACACTTTAGCATTATTAATATCATAGTATGAGTTTTAAAATGCAGTCCTCTCGGTATGCTTTTTACGTTATCTCTACCGACACACTTTATCATTTTTAATATCATAGTATGAGATTGAAATTATGTGACTGTTTAATCGAGCACCTGGTTAATTAACACAAGTTTTGTGAAAATTAATGAGAAAGTATTACTAGCAATATATTGATGCAGCACACACGCTGTATGACAAATAATTATATTTAAATCTCTATATGTAATATCCTGCTATACTCGTGCCTCTATTTTCCCAATTATGAAGTACATAGACTTCATAAAAATCAAAATATTTAGGTACATACAAACTATCTAGTTGGTAAACTTAAAGCTGCTCGGTTTTGAAACTATTATACAGCGTTACACGTAAAGGATATGAGCTAAAAATCAAATAGAATATTACTTATTAAATTGAACCATAATCAGTACAAAAGTGGAAATTTTTAATACATTTTTAACTTGTCATGGAGTGATATTGAGGTAATTTGTTGTTTCATTAATTACTGGGTTACAATGACTAATCCTTCTTAAATAGTAATTCGATAATTTTTATTTAATTGCAATGGAAAATACAAGCTGACAGTCCATGTTATGATAAGTGGTAATAGGTCCAATATATGAACGTTACCACAACGTATAATATAATACACGCAAACATTACTGTAACCATATAACATTCTACAGCAGTAATGCGTCGAGTATCTGTTACAAATAATAATAGTACTATTATATAATTTTATTTATATATACTTGGATATACCTATTACGCTATATCCAAGTATAAAATGCATGCAAAGTCTGTAGAATTACCATTAATACTTTTTAAAATAATCTTATATTAAATACAAATAAACATCGCAGCGGCTTTTGTATTGATTGCCGCATGCATCCTTATGTAAAGTGCGAATACTGTAACTACCATATAGTAATTTTTGTAGCTGTGACGTGGTCGTGTGGAATGAGTAGTCATGCTCACTAAAATGTCCAGACATGTGGCGGCGTGGTGGGCCGGGTCAATGGGCTCCCTAAAATATGGTCGAGCGCAGTGATGGCTGGCTCATCCGTCATACTCGTGAACGAGTGCTGCTTGTAGGGACTGGTCTGCTCTTATCACTACGACTGATTTAATCTTGTAGCATGATTATATTTGACCCAAAAAATTAGTGCTTGTTGGTACTTTGTATTCACACGTTTCGACTTGTAAATGTAAACTTACAAGGATTATTTAAAAGAGCAACACACAAGTTTCTTGCTCGTTCTTCTTGTGATGAGACAGCTTTCCGAACGAGTGGTAGATAAAAAACAAATTGTTATGACTATTCAAAAGTGCTTAAATTAAGTTTATTTGAATAAATGATTTTCTATTCTATTCTATTCATCTTTTGGTTCTTAAATAAAAGGTAAAGTGTAACCGTATAAATACAATTTAGACAATAAAAAGTAAAAACAGGAATCAAAATATTTCTTACAATTAAAAAAAATACGAAACAATTTTAATATTAATTTAATTTAAAGCAAGTTTTTATTCTTGTCTGAAAATAACAGACAGATTGGGGGAGAACGGGTGTAAATATCTAAAAATATCTGTAAATGGCCAAATGGATTGATTACTTCATACTACTACTTATAAATCATGATAAATCTATGTTTTTACGAGAGCAATAAATACACAAACAATAACACAATATACAAATATAATACTATAATAATACGGTGACTAGATATCATGACATTCATTTCATATATCAAAAATAAAATAAAATTTGATGTATATTCAACATACTATTTCGGTATATATAATTTGTTAGAATATAAATATGAATTAAGCCAAAGAACAAAAACTATGATATTAAGTAAAAGTTAAAAATAACAAATCAATACTTTCACATATTAAAAAAAATATAAATACGTTTGTTCATAAAGCGCTATAATATATATTTTTAAATGAGTATAATTATAAATTCGCACATACAGCCAATTCAACTATGAATTGACAGTGATCTTAGTAGTACTTATAAGGATATGTGAGGCATCTTCCCATCATCTTCACTTATTAAAAATATTATTGCATTATTAATGTACAATATCAGAACAGTTTAAATTTAAATATGATATTTTAAATTGCCAGACAAACAAGCTTGCGTGAATTCGTTAATGAAAGCTATTAAAAAATATAAAAGACGAGATCAAAAGTAATATCACTCTCCTAAATTAAATATTCGTAATTTAGAATGCAATCGCGAGTATGTAATGTAGTGTTTAATGTTACGTATAAAAGAAGCCTCCGAATAAATGCACTTTCTTATATATCTATTTCAATTCGTCTGTAATCCAGCTATAAAAGTTCTATATGACATTATACTAGCAGCAGCCGAGGCTCGAAAAAGCCGTTCTATCAACTATAGCTTTTCAAAGGATAACCGCTTCGTTTGTTATCCCTTTTAAAGTATGGCTCACACATTGAAAGGGAAATATCAATTGTCGTGACACACTATATTCGAGCGAGTTCACAATAAATGATTAAATATTTAAAATCATTTAAATATTTTTTTAGTTAATCATTACAGGAAAAAATAAATATTTCCTGTTTGTAGTATTCGTTTAGATAATAATAAGGGGATATTTATTGTAAATATATTTTTATAAGCTCCCGATAAATCTCAAGTCGAATTGTACATACAGATTTTCTGGATGTTTTAGCTCAGGACTAATACAATTTCTCCGACATATTTAAGTAAGGTCCACAACATTTACTTTAGCTTCAATTTGCAAGTGTGCAATATGTCTACGACACCTCAATACGTACTTTTTTTAAGTAAAATTAATACTATCACTATCTATACCTAATATCATTTGTTATAATTCAGCGTGAATCATTATTTTTGTCACAATCTAAACGCTATAACCGGCCAAAATTACGTTTAATTTCATCCCTTTCATCCTTTACTGGTGTCATGTTAACATGAAGCATTCATCATGTCAACCAAACCATCGTTATCATTAAAAAAAACCCTAACCTAAAAAAACTGATACAGTTTTTTGGAAACAAAATTTTTGACCAATCAAGATTTTCGGCCGTGGCATCTATTTATACGAAAAACCAAAGGCCAATATGGCTTACTTTGGTTTCTTATTATATCAGATTATTTCCCATTCGCTGTCCAAGTTATCTTCTGGTGACATGATATTGCGCACTTTTTTCCCGTCAAAACCGTTTTGCATTTCCAATTTTAGTTCAATATTCTCGAGGTTCCAATTATTTGGTAACTGCATTACTTTGGGAACCAGGTCAAAAGTGGGAGGAGTTTTTACTTTACCGGTTTCTACCGGCTGTCTAATATCTACCGGTTTAATTTCTTCCGGTTTAATGTCCGCTATTAGACGTTTCGGCGTGACCGGTTTTTCAATTTCATTTACCGATTCGAAGTCAATTTTGTAAGTAGGTACTACAGTGACTTCCCTTGTTACGTCGTCATTTTCTTCCGGCTTATGACTGGCGATGCTAAGGGACTCCAGGTTGAGCATTTTAGCTAAGATCTTTTCTTTCTCTTCAATTTGTTGTTCTAGAAGTTCGTCATTTGGTATGTTGCTGAAACAGAAAATAATTCAAATGTACATAAAATATGTATTATTTCATGTGTAATTAATTAATAAACAAAAACGTAGACTTGTTGTATGTTATTTATACATAAAATGTAACAAAATAAATAAATTTGAATGTAAAATATTTGATTAAATATTAACTTTAGCACACATAATTTTTATTTAACTAGCAAATTAATTTTTATTAGAATGGAATTTTTAGAGACGGATAATTTAAGTATATTTAATACAAAATAAATATCTTCTCGACTCTAGCGTTAGAAGGGGTAGTCAGAAGTAAGACTACTATCGACTATATAGTCATAATACTTGACAAGAGCATATTATAATTCAAATACAACAGGGAGCGACCCTACTGCCGTCATCCGATTATTTTGCTATGTTATCCATCATCAGAAATATTAATTTAAATATAAGAATATATCCTTACTTATATATGCTGATGTCCATAAAACATGGACTGGTGTAGCTAACATTCTCCAATTTCCTCACAGGGGTCGCAAGCCGAGGAGTGCTGGCCCCGGAGCCGCTCTCTCTCCTCCTACTTCTCCTGCTGTGTATCAGTTCTTCATCACACTTCTTCTCCATTATACTGTTGTACAACTTCAACTTCTTCTGTAACTCCTCAGATTTGGCTCGTCTGATCTCATCGTCGGCCGAAACATCTCTGAATTCATTTATAATCGATTCGAGGACATTATTCGAGATATCATTCGGGAGATGTTTAATGGGGGGAAGTTCGAAGCATTCTTCAGCGCTGGCGACGGTTCCGGTCTCGACGTCATTGGTGGTGAAGATAGAAATAGGTTGCTCGAGCACGCTGGTGATGTAGGGTACCGTTTGGTCGAGGGTAATATCCCGCATGGTGTTCACCGCCTGCTGCAGGGATGTGGTCAGCGATTTCGTCATCAAGTTGATGGGTTGCTCTGTCCGGAAGGGAATAGGAAACTTTAAAAATAGTATGTTAATTAAAATAAAAAAGTAAAAGTTTTGTAAATGAAGAAATATCAAACCAATATCTAAATTTTGGTTTGGTTTCCGAAAGAAAAGGGTTAGTATGGATTTTTAAGAGTAATCCCTATAACGCGACATTTTCCATCTGTTTGTCTGTCACAGATCTCTCAATCATAGTGTAGATTACAGTTTTGAATAAAATGCATGCTAACAGTTCCCCCGGCAAACCATCGATTTGTCACTTGATTCGAACTCATCCTCCACTCGTGACTCGCTAGTGTAAACCGTTAGCGCAGGCAGGTCTACCATTCCATTATCATCAATTAAATTAACCCTATATGTGAGATTTATATTATTTTCATTTGGTGATGAGTAAGATCTAATTGTAAAACAGAACTCATTCAAGTGGCGAGGATTCTAAATTATCACCATTCATCATTGCCTTGCCTTTATCCCATTATTTGGGGTCGGCGCAGTATGTCATTCTCTTCCACTGCTCTCCATATCATATCATCTTTCACACAATCCATCCATCTTTTCTTATTGACATGGTCCTCATTCCTCCGCATAACATGCCGATACCAACTCAATCTGTTCTATAATTTTTAATTCTAAATTATCACCATTATTGTTCTGTTTACAGAACAAGTTCAGAATCTTCTCAACGCGTGTATCCATAAATATGAGGAGAGATTCATGCAAGCAGTCAATAATATGAGACTTACGTACTTTTAAAAATCACGGGATATTACCATGTTTTATTTATTTTTATTCTTTCAGTAGTAGCAACAAATGCCAATAAAATATTTTATTTACCATCTACCCGTAATCATGGCGGTTGAAACACTGCTGAAATATCAGGAATTCAATAAAAATAAATAAAACACGGTAAGATCCCGTGATTTTTACTAATTGTACGTAAATAATGATCGCGTCAAATTTAAAACATTTGATAGCAGATTATGATGATAATGATCGTGTAATGATATCTAAGCACTTTATTTTGCATTCAGTTAGTATCTATCTGATTATATGAAAGAAACAAAAATTTAAAAACAATGTTTAAGAAGATTTTTATGCTCTGTCTTTTGACCTGAATTTGGATTACCTGATGCATTATAAAAAAATATAAAGTGCTTATATTAAGTTTATTTCGGGTGATACATTCACGTTCATGATGGCTGGCTCATTTTTAATTGATATAATAATGTATTTGGAGCAGATATGTACCTATGTAGTTCGAATTATTTACTCGCAATGGAGGTAGTATATATTGGTAAATATGTAGCAGATATAGAATCAATTATAGTTTAGATTATATAAAACATTTACCAACGTATGTAATATATATAACATACAAGTTTGGCTTTGACAAATTATTCTAAATTACAATTTTCCAAAAAACGTATTTTTTTTTTAAATAATATTTGTGCAAGCATCATTACATAGAGCCATTGCTCAAATACATAAATATACCAAGCAAGAATAAAGAAGCAAAGGAACTAAGTTGGACATCACAAAAAATAAAAATGCATATATTACTACAAAAGTATATTTACATATAAGTACAATGGCCATGCTGATATCCAGTCTACACTCTAAATACAATACAACAAAGTACAATTTCCGGTGAACATAAATAATACATTTAAGTAAATATTTATCAGATATATTAACGAAAAAATCTATTATCTAAAAGCGTCACAAATTGTTTTTTGTGGTAACCGATTTGTAATTCTAACGCGTTTATGAGTCAACTCCCAAACAGTTGACCCAAAACCAACATATGGACCCGACCGATCGCCATCCAAATAGTGTTATAATACAAATGTAAGACGCTTAAGAGTCAATATCCGAAGTTCGACCGACTCCAAACCAACATACCGACTCGATCGATCGCCAGCTTCATTATACTGTAACGAATATTCTTGGTGCTTTCTATGTATATTATGTATGTATTTAAAAAACAAATACTTTTTTTAAATACATATATAATATACTCATGAATATAAATGTTTGAACCCGCGACCTTCGAAAGTAAGGCGGTGTGCTAAACCGAAATCTATTTATATTTTTTCTGATAAATAAATTACTTATTGAAAACTTGTATTGTAGCCAGTATCATACAACCATGGAGTATTTTAAAACGACAGATACATTTTAGATTAAATATAGACGTATGTTAATATTGTCTTTGCCCAGAATGAGTCGACCGACTCACTCTTGTCCTTTTGGTACGTATTAATATTATTTGGTGTAAATATAAGTACAATAACTAAATCGAAATTTGTCTTTATAGCACTTTATTATAATTGACACAACATACTAGGTATATCTAATACCCTCAACACACGTACATACAGTTCTAATAAATAATCAACTGACATTTCTATAACATCAGTCAATAAAAAAAATATTACTATATTTGAAAAAAGAATATTACTATTTCTATTTCAATTTGTCTTCTATCCTAATAGGGACCTATACATAATTTGCGTCACATGATTGTCATAATTTTGTTACCGTTCCCCCATCCTTGTCATTCTTGTCACAGTTGCTCACAATTGTGAAGAATCCCCCTGCTCAGTCACGTCACATATTTCGCAATTTTAATCATTATTATGCAAATATTATTACATTTTTCATTAATCGCTTACATTCGATATTTGAATACTTAACGAGAATTCAATGGATTCACCGTGCGGGTGTCGGGTCCATCGTGTGCCAGAGAGGGAAACTCCGAGCAGTTCCTGGGACTTGTGATACGGGTGTTGGTTTAAGAGTACTCCTTGTTAACGTACGATCTTAACACTAACATTTACCTTCACCGTTCTTTGAATATTGTCTTTTGAAATTTTTTGACATTTAGAACCCCTTGTCACACAATGTCACACTTTGTCAACCCCCTATAACTTGTGACGTAATTTATGGATGATCTCTGGTTGTGAGATGATTTAGTATGAGCCGGGTGTAGATTTAAGGGTGCTCCTTGTTAACGTACGATATTAACACTAACATTCACCTTCACCGCTCTTTGAATATTTTCTTTTGAACATTTTGACATTTAGGACCCCTTCCATTCTTTGTCACACAATGTCACACTCTGTCAACCCCCCATAACATGTGACGTAATATATAGATGGTCCCTAGTTGTGAGTTATGTCTATACACAGAACTATTTCTCTATTGAATAAATAGAAACGTCAATTAAACTGTACCTACGCGTGTAGTGGGTAAAAAAATCAACATTTATAACTACACGATATGCTTATATATTAACGGACGGATATATTTAATTCTACTGTTATTGAATACTAATAGGTATCACTTATACTTAAACCCTGGAAAAACTTCATCAAACCAGCTGAGAAGAATTGACAAGTGTCAATTCTTCTCGGCTCAATCTTCCGAACTGACGGTATATTCTACTTATCAGAATTGTCTCTAATAGACTTAAGTCAATGATATTTTCATGAATTATTTTTAAAAAGTACATTCACAGAATAATCTCTAATAGACTTTAAGTCAATTATATTTTCATTATTTTTAAATAAGGGTGAATGTATATTCACCGTTGAGCTAGCTGAAAATCAGTGTTTTGCTCCTTGAGTGATTCTCCACACTGTACTATGGGCTATTTTGTAGAGCTGTAGCACATACATGCAGGTTTACCCATATTCTATTGTATTGGTTTATAACTTTAATCTGTATTGTATACTATTTGTAATTAGCCTATATGTGTGTACAAAGATACAAATAAACTCTTATTTGTATCTTAGTATCTATCTATTAATTTTTTTATCATATAATTACTTACATATATGCAAAAGAAACATACCCTCACGACTGTGATAACAGATGGGGTAGTCAGAAGTATTGTCATCTGTCGATGTTGTGTTGAACGCAACACTTAACATGTCCACATTCCGCTTGGTATATTAAAATTCCCCCTGGCAGAGGACGAATCTAGTGCCATTTCTCGTCAATTTATTATTTTATTTTTTCGTTGTTGTTAGTATAAATTGACATAAAAGTTTTTTGTTTTTGGTCAGATTTAAACTGAAGACCTTTTGGATATAAAGCACTAGTGTAAACAACTCGCTGATTTAATTACTAATTATCATACAATTAATTATATGTATATAAATAGCAGATATAATTCAAAATGAAATATATATATAGATACATAGCACCTTATTACTTAACAGATTTTTTTGGTTTAATTCCGCTACAATTAGCATTGATGTGTGTGACAATAAATAAATATTCAATGCGGAAACCTGACCATCGCTACTGGAAGCGACACTACCTTCAAATTCAAATTAAAATTAAAAAATCATTTATTCATGTAGGACATTTTAGCCGCTTATGAACGTCAAGTTTTTACATTATAATTTTTTTCCCTACCGTCCAGTTCGGTATATAGATCCAATTGAGAAGAATTCTTCTCTAATGGTGATCAAATTCTGACTGTTATTGAATCTACACCCATACTGCGACATGTGTTTAGCTGAACAAGGCATGATCAGGCAATAAATAAAGCTCTTAGGAGCCTAGTGTTGACTGTATTCGTAATTTAGTCGCCGAAGAATGATGAAGATGTCCTGTTCAGAGGCAAAGCACGTGTTACAATAAGGGTGTAGATTCGTAACGCTTCCAGTAGGAGTGGTCAGGTTTCCACACTGAATATTTGTAATCTCACACATGCTAATGATAGCGGAATTGAACAAAATAATATACATTAAGTAATGAAATTGACTTCCGCAAAATAATACCTAATTAGTTAAAATATACATAGCACCCTGTCACAACTATAAGTAGCAGTATAGCCGAGTATACTCAAGCATACTAAATACTGGAAAATACACAAAATATACTCTACAATTTAAGCTAAGAGGCACGTCAAATGCAATTAGCTTCACACGATTTTAATTTCTAATTATATAATGGAATAGAGTGCATTTTCATGCAGTTATATCGTTTGCACATTACAGAGTTAAAAATCTCAACTGTTTACAACGTCCATTACAATTCTAGTGTTAGCCTTGAACAGTGTTGCCAGGTATTATATATTTTTAGCAGTTAGTAATTATTTAAAATTAGAATAGACGTCTAGCTGAATTAGTCCGGCTATATTAAAATTGGCCCTGTTAACACTGTTCACATATATTTGAAATGAGTAACTGACAGTGTAATGGGCACTTAAAGTGCTGTAAATGTCGTGCAAAAGATACTACAAACAGCGTGAAGCGTGAATAATTTGCATCACTATAAAACTAAAATATAAACGATAATGTAATCATGCAAATATGCTAATTTCTTTAATCTCATGATAAGTATATAAGAAGCCATATAAAATAACACAACCTTGTGTTTACTAAAACAATAATTCAACTACAGTCTCACTAGCATAGTTGTGAAGTGATAAAATTACGTCCGCCATGTTTAAAAGTTTCGATTGACAGATAAATTTATTTAATGGCAACACCAGATAAACATTAGCACCGATTTTTAATTCACAGATAAGTCATCGGCACTTAAGTACAACTACATAAAGCACAAAGTTACATAATAAAAAAAAAAGGGGTACAGATAAAAATTAAAACTAGTATATAAAACAAAACAAATACCATTGGAATGCTACACAACTAGTCAACATTGTATATGATCTAGAACTCGCATGCAACGAAGCATTTAGACTAGGGAATATCATATTAGGCACATACTTATAATTATGTCTTTTATATCATTATGTTATAAGAAATTATATAAAATGAATCTTACATTTATATATAAAAATACTTTAAGTTTCGAATTCCTATCACATTTTTTAAATTTATATCCGCACAAAGTGCTTTGTAAACATATTTATATTAAGAAGATTCTACTCAGCTCTCTAAACTTATTTCTAAATATCACTCAAGTTAGATATACAATAAAAACACATTTTAGATAAGAGGTTACAATTGTAAGACGTTTTTCTCTGAGATTTTTATTTAAACTTCAATTAATGCAACATATTTAAAAAGAAATAGTTATCATACGTTTTAATTTAATATTTGTTTTATGCTTGTCCTTCATGTAATAGGTTTGTGTCACTATTATAATGATATTCATATTCCGATGTACGAATACCTTAAATTAAATGATATACCAAAGAAATGAAATAAAAAAAAAACAAAAATACATTATTTCTATTCCATAAGGCACATCAACAAAATCATAGTATTTTATATTAATTAGTGAATATTCGAAACAAATTTAGAGAGAACGTTATATATATAGGAAAAAAATAGATCTAACTTAGTGTGTCACTAGCCTACTTTGGTTAGTTTTATAATGGCAACTACGGTTTCTTTGTCGTTGTAACTAATGGAACATTAAGAGGTGTTCACACTTAACGGAGCGCACTATTAAGTACCAGGAAATTATCACAAATCATTAAGTAGTTAAGTACATATCATCATTAAGTTTAAAATTACCGTACACTGTGATAAAATTAAAAATAACACGCGCAACACTTTATAACACCTCGTCCATATTAAATTTTATATAAAATTCCATTCTGAAGCCGTCGATGATATATTTTTTAGCATTTTCGTCCCCCCCATCCCCTTGATGAGATATCCCTCCCTCCATCCAAAATCACGTGTATTTTTAGTACCTACAATTAATTATTTTTTCTTTATAATCCGATTTTATTCTAAAAAAGTCATAATCCCACTCTACGCGGCGTTTTTCTTTTTAGAAATCGAGCGTTTGACAAAAAAATATATACACGTGATATCTTACTACACTCACTTCGTGATATTTCGTGATTTTTGCCGAACCCCCTACTCTCTTTAGAGCCTCACGACAGTAATAGACAGCCCTATTCGAAATCCTAGCAGACCATTGTATATACTTTATATAAGCATAATAATATACTGTATTACTTAACATTAATTTTAATTATTGTCGTATTCGTTAAATATATTTTTTAATATATTTAATATTGTCCATTGGAATTTGGTATATTAATCATTGTCGATTTTCTTTAATACATTTAATATTGTCCATTGGAATTTGGTATATTAATTATTGTTGATTTTCTTTAATACATTTAATATTGTCCATTGCAATTTGGTATATTAATCATTGTCGATTTTCTTTAATATATTTAATATTGTCCATTGGAATTTGGTATATATTGTCTTTAATACATTATTGTCCATTGCAATTTGATATTATTTATTATATTTGTTCAATTATGGATTTTCTTTAAATTATTCTTTAATTTTCTTTACATTTAATATTGTCCATTGCAATTTTGTATATTAATCATTGTCGATAATATTAAATATTGTATAAATTTTTTTTATATTTTTTTTATATTTATTATAATTTCATAACCATCTTATGTTGCTGTTCGATTGAGCGCTCCGTTAGGTGTGAAAGGGCTTAAACCTAGCTGGGGATGTGTTTGGTGAACAGACCTGGTGCCCTCGCGGCTGGCTCTGGTGCATGCGCGAGTCGCACCAGGGAGCGGGGACCTTCCAACACGAAGATCTCGTCCTTGTTCACGGACACCGACAGGATCCTGGTGGAATATTCAGTTTTTTAAATATACAGACTGTATTTTTTTAATAGAAATATTATTGGAATGTGTATAAAATTTACAGTAAGATACCAAAGGATGTACGGGAATTATATAATGTTTGTGTGTGTGTGAGATTGTGTTTTGACACTTTTTTTATTTGACTTTTGTGGAAATTGCGGAAATCTATAGAACTTCATAGTTAAATAAAATGCAAAGCTGAGTAAAATTGAAAGTGGAAATGAAAATTAACATTTAAGGTAGGTATGCACTATTTGGAAAAAGCGATTAAATCAATTCCAACTCCCTTGAGGCTTAGTTTTTGATAGTAAAAATGAATGAAAATAGAGAGATATTTGTAGAGACGTTTAATACAGCAGAGTGTAGTGACAGAAGGAATAATAAAACAATTGTATAAAAAGAACTCTCCTATTTTAAATATGGATAAATATAAATAAATAAAAAGGAATATAAAGACTACCAGAGACCTACAATACGAGAGTCACTCTCATTGTAGGTCTAACACTGATGGACACTATCACTGAAATATTAGAGTTTGATGGAATGAAAATAATTTCGTATTTCTAAAACAAAATACGTTTACGAGACGAGATAATATATATACATATATATATATATATATATATATTTATATATAACAATAAGAATCGTACACTATATAACATAATAACCTATGGACAATTCACACAGCGCTATCTAGACCCAAGTTAAGCTATCAAAATTGTTATAGGTACTAGATAACTGATACAAATACATAGAAATATATTTTTTCGTAAATACATAAATATTATACATAGAAAACACCCAGACAATCATACTCATGAATACAAATGTTTGTGCCTTGCGAGGAATCGAACCCGTAACCATGGAGTAACCGTGGAGTAAGGCGGTAAGCTAAACCGCTAGACCACCGAATTCGTCAACATTAATGTAAATTAAGGATAAATACAGACAAAGAATTAAAGGATAGACACTCGGCTCCTTCTGCCTATTCCTAGAAGCATCCATTTACCTTATTCACTAGGTCACAAGTTCGTTAATGTTTACGTTAAGTTATACAAGGAAAATAAGTACAATAACCTGTAATCTGTTTTACGTACACACAATAAGGAATGTTTACTTAAAATTAAACTTAATATACTTAAATATATTATGTACTAGTTGACCCGCGCAACTTTGACTACGTCTCATTTCCACACCTTTTCCAATATTTTTCATTGCTGCTCCGCTCCTATTGGTCGTAGCGTAATGTTATATAGCTTAAAGCCTTCCTCGACAAATGGACTATCCAACACAAAAATAATTTTTCAAATCGAACCTGTAGTTCTTGAGATTAGCGGGTTCAAACAAATAAACAAACTCCTCAGCTTTATAATATTAGTATAGAAGATGTAAGTATATACTTCATATGGGAAGTTACGGATATTTTATCAAATCGAAAAGTAAATATTCTCTGAATTGGATTTGACGGCCACAGTGGTCTAGCGGTTCAATATACCGCTTTACTTCTGATGGTCGAGGGTTCGATTCCTCGCATCGTACAAACATTTGTATACATGAGTATGGTTGTTTGTATCGGGCTGTATGATTTCTATGTATATTATTTATGTATTTACAAAAAATATCTATCTATTCATATCAGTTGTCTGAATCATAACACGAGCTCTGCATAGCTTGGGACTAGATGGCGCTGTCTGAATTGTCCATAAATATTATTATAATTATTAAAAACAAAAAAAAACATAACTACAACATTCAGCGCCGAATGCTTTATTTCGTAGCTACTTCATATACTCTATATTACGAAATTCAGCGCTGAATGCTTCATTTCGTACATACTTCATTTTTCATTTTTTATTTGTTACCTACTTCATATAGGGTATCTATATGAAGTATCTATAGTATAGGGTATCTATATAAAGTAGGTAACAAATTAAAAATTCAGTACTGAATTCGATGAGAACCTTTTATTTTTGAAGTCGGCAGATTAATCATTAACTTACCGCCTGAGGTCATCCACAACAGCAACCGCGGTCAACGACCTCGGGTCCAGGATGTACAGGAAGTGTTCGTTGTGCGACACGAGGAAATGTTCGCGGAATACGAACAGTGGTCCCAGGTTGTATTCCCCGTCTGAGTGCGAGTGCTTTTTGAGCGACGGGTTCAGCAGTTCTGCTACAGTCAAGGGGTTGGATATTGCTTCCTAATAAGAAAAAAATTGTAGTTATTAATTATTTGTATTCGAATAGAATAAGAATTCTTTCTCGCAATATAGCGTAATTTGGAAATCACGTGACCTATGTCACAGCATAAGTCACGTGACCTACGTCTCTGCATAAGTCACGTGACCTATGTCTCTAGTCTCAGAGCCGGTGTAGCGATGGTGATGCGATAACGCCACTTAATTTAAATTTAACTATCAATTGTATATTTGTTAATTTAATTTAATTATTGATACAACATTAGAACAAATAATTAATCCATTCATAATTTAAGATCCACACTCTTGTCGATGGACTCTTGCCACTTTCCACAAACTTCCATCATGCTTTTTAAATATTGATCTTATCAATATTTAAGGAGTATGATGGAAGAAAAAAAAATTGTAACATGTGCCCTTTTTATTTATTTATTGCAGTATTACAAAAATATAAAGCACATGCATACAAAATTATTTTTGTGACGCCTTGAAAGGGCATGGCTATATAAGCACAGGACCTCTCAATATTATAATTCAAATGATAAAATGTTCTATACTACAAAATTAACTTCAAAATTATCTCCTTCCTTTATTGTATTCTGCAAATTAATTATTTAAGAAAAAATAGTAACCTTGAAGAGGAGCGTCTGGTGCACGTGCCCGGCGCGGTCTGCGCGCCAGAGCCGAAGGCCTGCACGCGCGCAGTACGCCGCAGCACCCGCGCCCCCGACGGAGCCCCCGCCGGAGCCTCCGCCGGAGCCCCGCGCGTACGAGTACGAGAACACCGCGCCCAACGCGCACAAGCTGCAAACCACATCTCGTCAGCACTCAAAATCTTACTAATGGATGGATGTTTGTTACTCTTTCACGCAAAAACTACAGAACGGGTTTTGATGAAACTTTACAGTAATATAGCTTATACATTGGAATAACACATGGGCTATAATTTAAATATATATTATGTAAATTGGGCGAAATATAATGATAAGTGTGATGCAGACGAAGTTGCGATGTTGCTGACCATCCACCATCTATAAGATATATTTTAGAATTAAATATTTATTAATATCAGGCAGCAGGCAGTTCGAGATACGGTTAAAAATATGTTATAAAATTGCCAGAAGAACGCATACAGGATCTAAATATATTCTATTTGTTTATGGGACTCACAATTTCTGTTAAATACATACATAATATATCTAAAACTCAGAGCAATACAAACTCATCTCGAATTTTAATGTTTGACATTTTGCAGCCATGCTCGTGTAACATAAACCGTAGGGTCGTCAGTTTATAAAATATGTACTAGGAAATACTCGTTTTTCTTTATATTTGTAACAATTAAACTAAAAACCCTGAAAAACCCACACCGGATCGATTACAACAATTCTATATATCAACCTGACAGGGTATATTGCTAGCAATAAGATCATCAAACCACATTACTCACAATTCCTTTTCCCCGTACGGAAAGCATTTTTTTAATTTATAGTAATATCCCGCTTCCTTTGTGGCGACATCCTTTTGGCCTATTTTTGTTCTTTTTAATCCTATACACGGTTCCTTTGTTTCTTTTTTTCTTTATTTTACGGAGAGTCATGTGTATAATTTAAAAATATGTTTGAAAATTTAACAAATCAAAATATTACTTCTTGCGGTCCTTCTTGCCCAGTTGTGAGACATGCCACCGCGCGTCGCGTCGCTCGCACACGATGCACCGGTACACACTGGATACCAGCAGCGTGTTCTGGTAGTAGCTCATTTGCACTATCTCGTGCTCCTCGTTCACAATCTCCATAGACTTGCACAAGTGCTGTATCGGAAATTACATTATACTGTAACCTACATAGACTTTATATATAATATTATAACTAGTCTAGACCCTGAGAAAGGACATAGACTACTTTTTAATGCGAAAAAAGGATAGTAAAGTGTTGAAAGGAGTGATGAAAGTTTGTAAGGAAGTGTTGTCATTTTTAAAGCTAGAGGCTTGAAACTTATTTTTTAGACTAATCATTATTACATAGTATAAAACAAAGTCGCTGTTGCTATCTGTCCGTCCCTATGTATGCTTAAATCAAACCTAAATACAAATCTAGAACCTTCTTTTTGAAGTAATTTCAAAAATAGCACTCAATAAACCGGAATATATTTACATACAAAATTCCTACCAGATAAATAATAATAAATAAATAACCCTGGACAATTAACACAGCGCCATCTAGTCCCACGGTAAGCAGAGCTTGTGTTATCGGTACTAGACAACTGATATAAATACTTAGATTTTTTTGTAAATACATACACAATATACATAGAAAACATCCAGACCGATACAAACAGCCATATTCATGAATACAAATGTTTGCACCGTGCGAGGAATCGAACCCGCGACAATCGGAAGTAAAGCGATGTGCTAAACCGCTAGATCACGGAGGCCGGCGTAATATAATTTCACATATAAAAAAACTCACCATGTAAAAGTCTATTTCTGTCATTATGATTACACCGTTCTTGTCGCCAGAGAACAGTCTCATGCCATTTTTGGACCATTCTATGGCAGTTATCTTGCTTTTATGAAGATCTCCAATTGTATATCTGTCAAATTGTTGAATTGTAACAAAAAGGGTGTAATAAACTACATTAGTTATATTCTAATGTATAAATATACTTTCATACCAGTATCTAATATATACGGACATAAAGGTATATACGGTATTTACATCATCATTACATAGTATAAAATAAAGTCGCTGTTGCTGTCTGTCTGTATACTTAAATCTTTAAAACTACGCAACAGATTTTGAAGCGGTTATTTTTAATTGATAGAGAGATTCTGCGAAGCCGGGGCGCGTAGCTAGTCAATAAAATTTTACAAAATTGTTATTAGTCTGTCTGTTTATCCTTGCTAATCTCTGAAACGGTTGGAATGATTTTGACGGGCCTTTTACTGGTTGATAGCTAATATTATAAGGAGTAACTTCTTAGGATTTATTTTAGAAATTTTATTTATTTTAATAAATACAAATTTTTAATTATTTCTTATAATTCCATGCAGACGGAGTCGAAGAATAGTAGAGAATAAAGAATTTAACAATAGGTAGGGACTCCTTATTTAGGAAAAGATATTTACCTTTCAACTTTAGGTTCTACTTTAGGCTTTAGTGTATCCGGGACATTCTCAGGATGCTCCTTGGGTATCTGGAACACAGTGACCTGACCTGCAGCATTGCCAGCACCCACCATGAAGTCCACTGTGCTTACAATCTTCACATAAGTGATGGGGCTTGTTGTTGCCTAAACATAACAGAAAATAACAATGATTAATTGATTTACTTTTACGAGTTTAATTACTAATAAACAATGATCCGCTTGTGGTAACCATAATTTACAGGATATAGAATATTATTCAATTGTGGTTGATTCTTGGGGAATTTGATGACCTCTGTTGGTCTAGCAGTATAGGATACTGCTTTACTTCCGATAGTTATGGGTTTGATTCCTCTCACTGTACAAATATTTGTAGTAGTTGTTTGTATTGATCTGTGTGTTTTCTGTGTATATCATGTATGTATTTAAGTATTTATATCAGTTGTTCAGTATCTGTATCATAAGCTTTGCTTAGCTTGGGACTAGATAGTGTTATGTGACTTGTTCAGGGTTATTATTATTAATAAGTCACAGAGTACTAACTGATTTCACTTCATTCTCATTATGTTCTCCTCTACAAGGCTCTGCCTGTAGTACAATAGATGCATCATTCCTATGAATTCATGAAGAATCAAGTCTGCCTGGGAGTGGTGGGGGTGCAGGTTAGGGACTAGAGCAAACCCTTTTGTATCGACGTCAACTTTGGTGGTTTAAACCCACTGGAAACTGGGTTTAACATGTTCATACTGGGGCCGATTTTAATGTTTTTTTGCTGCACGCAGCACTCTAATTGATGCCACACTTCATCTGGTGGCGCTGGGCCACTGGTGGTACGCGCCGTCCAATGAGACAATCTAGCGCGGGCCACGGGTGCTACGCGCCGTCCAATGAGACATTCTAGCGTGGGGGCCACCGGTGCTATGCACCGTCCAATGAGACATTCTAGCGCGGGCCACCGGTGGCCAGCGCCGGTGTGATCGTGTTAAAACCTTGAGGGTGGGTATTACCTAAATTTATAAGTTGACAAACACTAGGACAAGTACATTACACAATATTTATAGTAACTTAAGTTAGTATAAATATTGTGTAATAAATAGTGTGTACACTATTGTATACACACCTAATATCCATAGTTGTAATGTAACTGGAACACCTTAAAAAATCCATTAATTCTAGTCAACAGTAAACATTGAATATGACAAAAGAACTGATATTTCTGTTTACAGAAATAATTCATTATCTTGTTAAGAGATAATGGTTCTGTCGACAGTTTACATATGACTTAATAGCACTTTAATGTATTTCTTATCTACACTATATTGTTTCCTTTACTTGGAGAAAGAATCACTTGGTCCTAGTTCCTTTAGGTTGTGTGGGTTCCAAACTACCCTCATCATAGTTATATATTTTTGTTTTTACTTACTCAGTCTTCTTTTTAATCTTATTAAATATTGATGTTTTTTGCTGAATATGCCACCTCTATTGGAGGTAACAATACATAAATACTACTAACTAGTAGTAACAACTTTTTCTTTAATAAATGATAATATGTTACACATGGATGCATTAATGGTACACAGGTGAGGAGCTTATGCAGGATATTAGAATAAGGATAAAGCCAGGTACTGACCTGGACCACTGACTGTAGTGGATCACATAATTCAAGTCTTAAGAATATTATTAATGTTATTATAGTCTTTATTTCATACTGTAAAATAATTACTAAAGATAACTTAGCATAAATCTGCTAAACAAAAAGTGGCATTATCACTTAAAGCAAACTCTTACAGACTAATATTTATCAATAAAACTTGTAGTATTTTCCAATGTTTATGCATTTGAGTATTTCAGAATAAAATACATGCATTTAATTTACTACAGAAATCCTAATAATCGAAAGATAAACAACACTTGTACATATGATATATATTTCTACAAAACCTACATACATAATAATTAAGTAACATTATGGAAATAGAAGACATATAATTCAGTTGTAAATTAAGTTATAGTGTGTATTTTGCATTCAAAACCAAAATAGTTCTCTACCTGCTTTGTCTATCGAAAGTTTGTCTGCGAAAATGTGTTACAAGGTAAACGAAAGCGACATTGAAAACATATGGATGTTTACGAAACTTACCTCGCATCTTAGTCTTTGGATATTCCCCTTTTTTCGGTCGTACCAGTACACTAAGCCCACGTTTGTCCCCAATGCAATATACTCCGTGACCGCATCGACACAAGTCAAGCAGAGTTCATTGGAAAAAATTCCATTTTGTATGCGAGGTGGAATTAAATTTAAAATATGCGACGACGGTGTCCATTCACGTACGAAACCCTCTTCGGCACCTCCGGTCACTTCCATTTTAATATAGCTTTACAGTATCAGAAAATTATTGAATAAACTTATTTTACACAACCATACCATGTTTTCCATGCAAAATGAATTATTAATTGAATTTTATAAAAAGCGAAGACGAAAACAACAAGTAAACTACCAATAGAATAGATTTCGAATATTTTTGACAAATGTCAATTTCAAATAATTTACGTATCGATTGATACGATACGACTGACATATATGTCAAAATAAAGTTTAACTGACTTCCAAGGAATCCTACTACGTTGTTGTACCTTGGCTACTGCAGGGCAAGAGGGAAGTTTGAAAGGGAGAGACGCAGAAACACTAAACAAAAAACAAAAAGTCCCCAATTATGGCTAGCTCCTTAGTTAGGTTAAGTTAATTAAATTTCTTATTATGTTTATTATCTATGTTAATGCCGTCCTAAGAGGCTTTAAGAAAACAAGCATTATAAAAAAAAACAATAAAATATTACATTTAGGATTATGCCAATATTTTATTGCTATGGTTGATTTTTTTCTGCCAGACTCAAATAATTAAAAACTGTTTTTGTTAGGTAGTACAGCAACCATAGACTATTGATATACTGCATTTTACTGGTATTCTCACTGCCAGCTGTTACCAACATAAGAGATATAACTGACAACTGTACACTGTCATTTACTTGTCAAATTGTATTTCTAGTATCGTTGTTGAATTCATCTCAGTACTTAATATTAATATTATTAATTAAAAAATGGCAGATTCAGCCACAGAAATACCTAGCATAATAGAAGAGAGTGTTAAGGAAACTATCAAAAATGTTACAGACAAGCCACCAGCGAGTATTGAGGGAGTCGCAATCGCGTACTTGAGTTTAGTTGTTATGGCTATATTACCCATATTTTTTGGGTCATTTCGATCTGTAAAGTACCTTAAGGAACAAAAGGTGAGTTTATTAATCGTATTACAAAAATTTTTAATACTATAAACATAGTTTTCATGAGTAAAAGTGCGACCAATTACGAGCCTACACATCCATCGTCGTGGCATATGTCTATAGTAGTCTATACCTAAAACTGATGTGTACACAAATAACCTATTTTTAAAATAATTTTGTATACGTCTCGTACAACACCTCGTTTAATATTAAACATATATTTAATATAAATAGATTCATAGCTGTTTTCATTTAAACATACATGTAAACTTATTTATTTTTAATCTTGTCATTCCATAAATTACATTTTTTGCAAATTAAAAAGTTATAAACTTATTAAATTATACAGTTTAAGGAAACAAAATGTTAATTTATAACTAGGGATGTTATCTGGTTGTTATCTGTATTTATTGGTTTAATAAACCTGTTATCAACTGTCTCTGACCCCTTAGACTAGTTAAATTGTTTTAAAATTATTGCTCCATATGTAGTATAAAATTATGGCAGCAGTAACCGCTTCTTAACAAATAAAAAAAAAAGAAAATTAACAACTGTCAACACATTTTAATTATCAGTGTATTTGTCTCTTTCTTTCATATTAAGGAAATAGCTCTTTCAAGCTATTTCCTGTTTATTTCTTTTGAAATGTTTGAAACAGTTTAAATATAAAAATATGTAGTTATCAGATTTTTCAATAAGGAAACTGTTATTTTTTTAATATGAAACATAGACATTTTTTTTTCCTGATTTGTCCATCTCCTTTTCAGTGATAAACATAGACATATACATATGAGAATTAATTTAACAGTAATGACTTTTGTCATTAGAAATTATACATGTAATCAAAACCAATGTCAGTCTATTGTCTAACATATAAATTAAGATACCATTTACATAATGATCATAAATTAAGAGAATGCAATACTAAAGCTTGCCTATCTTACTAATGTAATATACATGAAAGTTTGTGAGTATGCCTGGATAGATAAATGGATATTTGTTACTCTTTCACACAAAATATTTTATGATTTTTATGTGTAAGTTTTATAAAACCTATATGTCTATATGGGGTATTAAAAAATAATACCCCTGGACAATTAACACAGAATCATCTAGGCCCAAGGCAAGCAGAGCTTGTGTTAAGGTACTAGACAACAGATATAGATACTTATAATTACATACGTAAAATACATAGAAAACATTTAGACCAATACAAAGAATCATACTCATAACTACAAAGTCAAGTATGAGTTTGTACTATGTAAGGAATCGAACCTGCAATCATCGGAATTAAAGCAGTGTACTATACCACTAGGCCATCCAATTATATAGCTTATACATCAGAATAACACATAGTGTTCGCGCCATTTATAAACATATCAAGTGGTATGGTATTATTCCCCATATCCTAATCCCTTTCCCGCGCACAGTATGTCAACTGAGGTCGCCCGACGACCTCGTCTACTAACGTGAATGGTGACATCTCGTCCCAACCGCTCCGCTTTAAATTAATTAATATAATATTGACATTAACAATAAGTAACTTTGTGTGCGTGCCTGTGTTAAACTTAGTATTCATCGAATGCAGCAGCTGTGCAAGAATAAACCCGCTCTACAGTCACAGGTACGTGCTGTGCGCCCCCTTTATTTCATTTCCATACAGTCCACTTACCTTACCCGCTACCCCCCATTTCTCCACATAGCTATAAATGTCATGTATGAAACCGCAGGCATGACTAATTCACAATATTTCCAAAAAGTTTCAATAACTAAAGATGATATGCTGTAGATGAAATTTGCTGTTTTAAATAATTGGAAGAAATTTTTGTTAAAGTTATTATGTAAATTAGATGAAATTAAAAAGATTAATCTCAAGTAAGTGTGATACAGATGCATTTTGGTTGTGTATTTATGTCTGTGCCCTTTTCTGTAATTAAAGTTTATCTAATTGGTTAATTCTATTAATGTTTGTTGCAACAGGAGTCTGGACAAGCCCATGAGACTATGTCAAACAAAGATGCGCTCATGTTCCCGCTAATTGCATCTTGTGCCCTGTTTGGCCTCTATGTGTTCTTCCAATTCTTCTCCAAGGAATACATCAATCTTCTTCTCACTGGATATTTCTTCTTCCTGGGAGTACTTGCATTGAGTCATCTACTTAGGTATGTATTATTGATTAATTTTGCTATTAATGAACTGTTTTTAACTGACTACAAAGACTTAAAATAAAAACCAATGATTAATTAATATTATATTTATAATCATTATGTAAGATCTGCTGCACAGAGCAGATCTTACATAATGATTAATATTAATTATTAATTGGTGCGCCATTCTATTATAAAAAAGACATATTTATAGTACCACAGCTGTTTTACATTTTTTCTTAATTTCATACATAATGCATTAAATTTTAAATTATATATCATAATTTCGCAGTCCAGTAATATCCCTCATAATGCCAGCATCAGTGCCCAATGTGCCGTATCATATCCACTTCACGCGCGGCGAGCGTGACGGCCGCTCTGACATCGTTAACTACAAGTTTACCTCCTATGACGTCATATGCCTGATCATATCCCTCTGTCTCGGCGGTTGGTACCTGTTTAAAAAGGTAAGAGTTTCGTTTATATTACGCAAAAAAAAGAAACGAAAATCTTAATACAGTGGACCCCCGGTAGTCCGACAATCATTTTGCAGGGCAGTGTCGGACTATCGAATTTGTCGGATTATAGAGTGCTGCTTAAGGGTCCTCTGCTTATAGTCCGGAATTTTTTACAAAAGAGCATCTTGTAATCCGACAAATTACAGATCCAGTGATAAGATTCTATGTTATATATGTATGTATGTATATGCACTCTGAAGTATATTGTCAAAGTAATATTCAATAACAAATAATAGACAATGTCGGATTACCTTATAGTCCGAATTTTTTTACAAAAGAGTACCTTGTAATCCGACAAATTATAGATCCAATGATGATTCTTTATATTATATACATATACAGTGGACCCCCGGTTATCCGACAAACGTTTTGCAGGGCAGTGTCGGACCATCGTATTTGTCGGATTATAGAGTGCTGCTTAAGGGTCCTTTGCTTATAGTCCGGAATTTTTTACAAAAGAGTATCTTGTAATCCGACAAATTACAGATCCAGTGATAAATTCTATGTTATATATGTATGTATGTATATGCACTCTGAAGTATATTGTCAAAGTAATATTCAATAACAAATAATAGACAATGTCGGATTAGACAGGGGCCGGATTACCGCGGGTCCACTGTATTATAAACGCGAAAGTTGGGGAGTATGGATGTTTGTTAATTTTTCACGCGAAAACTACTAAACGGATTTTAATGATACTTTCCAGTAATATAGCTTATGCATCAGAGTAATACATGGGCTATATTTTTTATTGAAATAACGCGGGTGAAACCGCGGGTACAGCTAGTAATAATAACAAGAAACCAATGGAAAGTATGCTTTCCATGGTGTATGACACATCCATATAGTACCAATAGTTCTGTCATTCACAGTAATTATACGAAGAAGGACCCTGAAACCTAAGTGATTTCATTAGGATGGGCTAACTGACCTAACCTCATTCTCATCTTATCATCCACTGATGAAACTCTGCCGAAATATCGGGAATTCAGTAAAGTAAATAAAATGTGGTAAGATCCCATGATTTTTCCTAACCAAATATATTACTTTCAGCACTGGATCGCAAACAACTTATTCGGTATTGCATTCGCCATCAATGGAGTGGAACTGTTGCATCTGAATAATGTGGTGACAGGATGCATTCTTCTCTGTGGTCTGTTCCTCTATGACATTTTCTGGGTGTTTGGTACGAATGTAATGGTCACAGTAGCCAAATCTTTTGAAGCACCCATCAAATGTAAGTACTTAGATATTTTGTAATAATAATGTTTGTCTTACAATAAATAACTTATTCAGCAAATACTGTTGACATTAATATATATTACAAATAGCATACATTGAATAAAATTGGCAGCTTGTATACACACATATACATACACACACATAATAAAACACCAACATATAGTCGTATTTTTAATTAGACGAAGTCAACTGACGTTTACTGTGTTGTCAGTATTTGATGAAATAAAAATAGTGTTGTGACAAAGTGAATAATTGAAAAAACTCCTGAATTAATGGAATTGCCTCAATTGTTTAGTCTAGTGAATAGTTAGTGTTACGAACTGCCGATATCGGGTACGGGGTTCGAATTTTAGCCGTGCTTTATACATACCAACAAGTTTTCGACAACTATGTTCCTCTAGTATCTACCTATACTGAATACAGAGTATTTGAAACATGAAGAAAAAAATTGCGAGGAAACTTTTAAGACCTATTACAATACATCATGTAGTTAAAACTATAGATGTATAAAATATAACAATATATAACATAATATAGTTAGGTAATAAAAATAAAAAACTTGGCTTATTACAAAATTTGTTTTTATTCATCATTAGATAAAAAAGTCATTGTTGCTTTTCAGTGACATTAATTATAAATCTGTCGGAAAAATTGACAATAATTTATCTTTGAAACAGTGTTTCGGTCCACGTTTCTCCAGAGACTTAAATTGTTCATTTTCTTTGTATTCTTTTAATACATTGTAGACCGAGGTCACACCAATTCCCAAAATGTCAGCTGTTTTCGAAATACATTCTTTTTTTTTCGGGAGCCTCAATAGGTAATAGTGAAGCAGCTTTCTCCTCAAATACGTGTTTGTAGACGTTTTGTATCATAAGTTTTTCGGTAACGCTTAAAGCAATCCGTGGTCTCTTCTTTCTTGGAGACAAGCTTTGGCTTGACATGCTTGGTTGAGGATCCATTTCCATCCATCCATAAGAAGGATACATTGGTACGAAACAATATAGCAAATATACAATATACCTAACTATTACCACAAATACAACAGAAGGAAAAACTTATCAAAAACAATAACAAAACAGTGTGAGCGCAAAAAAAAAACATTCGTGCTCTCAGACCAGAGGTTAGAAGCCGAATTACGAACAAAATGGCGACCGAAGCTCGCGACGTTGATCGGTGTTGGCACTAGTGGCTACTAGTGCCAACAGCGCGCTTTGTAATAAGCCGTCAAATAACTGATTGTAGTTACGTAACACTAGTAACTTATATCAGAGCACTTTCATACAATTTTATTGTAAAATAGAAATAATATTATTTTGTAGTTTGAAATGATTAACTATTCACACTCATTGTTCATTCATCTGACCGAGAACTGAACGCATCACTATTACTTTAAATATGGCAACATTATTTTATAACGTGACATTAGCTACTGTCAGTTAGCTTCGTCTAATTAAAAATACGACTATAGTCAAACTTAATTAATAACTAATATGTTACTAAAGAATATTTACAAGTAGGAAGCATGCGATAATCAACATAGAAACCGCTACACACTCATTCTTTGTGTAATCAGATAATATTGTCAGCGCTACGAATTTTAAATTAGTTTGTTTTTTGTGCTAAAACATTGTTGTTTATTTATAAACTTTTCAATTTTATAAAAAGCTTTTTTACAAAGAAAGTGACCGTGACATGACATTAGAATCTTTTTCTGGCAGATTTAGTACAGACTCTGGCAATTTATGTCTGCAAATCCTTACGCAATTACCATAAAACAAGTTATTAACTTTATTATTAGTAAGCTTATCTATACTCATATTATAAAGCTGAAGAGTTTGTTTATTTGAACGCGCTAATCTCAGGAACTACTTGTTTGAATTGAAAAAATCTTTTTGTGTTAGATAGTCTATTTGTCGAGGAAGGCTTTAAGCTATATAACATTAGGCTACGACTAACAGAAGCGAAGCATCAGTGAAAAATGTTGCAAAAACGGGGAAAATTATTCATATAGGGCTTCGTGCGCTGCGCGAACGAAGTCGCGAGCACGGCTAGTATATTAGTATAAAAATGTCTTATAATGTTTGAATTTATTCCAGTGGTGTTCCCCCAAGATCTACTAGTGAATGGGTTCAACGCGAGCAACTTCGCCATGCTTGGTCTCGGAGACATCGTAGTGCCGGGAATATTCATCGCTCTCCTTCTACGGTTCGACAAGAGTCTGAAACGCGGCTCCGAGTTCTACTTCCGCGCCACTTTCTGCGCTTACATCCTGGGCCTGTTGGCCACGATCCTCGTGATGCACGTGTTCAAGCACGCCCAGCCGGCGTTGTTGTACCTGGTGCCTGCTTGTTTGGGCACGCCACTCGCGTTAGCGCTCTTGCGGGGAGATATCAATGCCTTATTCAAGTGAGTAATTATAACCATTGACTATTCTGACAGTTTTGTTTAAACTATTCTAATGCCCGCTGCAAATGTGGTAAAGGAGGAATAAGTTTTCAATAAAAAAATTAAAATAACATTTTCAATAAATAAAACAACTTCAAAAATAAGTTTCAAGCTTCTAGCTTCAAAAATGACCGTTCTTCTATACAACCTTTCATACCCCCTTTTAACCCCTTACAACCCTTTTTTCTCAGTAAAAAGTAGTAGTCCTTTCTCAGGGTCTAGACTATCTGTGTACCAAATTTCATTTAAATCGGTTCAGTAGTTTTGACGTGAAAGCGAGGCAGACAGACAGACAGTTATTTTCGCATTTATATTAGTAAGGATAAGGATTAAAAGAAAATGGAATACATGAAATATATGAGTAAATATGTGGGTAAGAGTGAACACAACAAATAGTTAAATGTAACTGTGCCTACACTTGTAATATTTCTGTCAGCACTTGAGACCCTCCCATTAGTTTTTTATATTACAATAGATATATATACAAGACAGCGATTCGATCTCAAATGACAGGTTTGTTCTTTTCTTGTTCTGCCGTAACTAGGCAACGGTGTTGCCGCGCGAAAATAGGAAATTCGCCACACCACTTTCTATATTTTGATTTTGTTAATATTTGAAATATAAATAAATAATTATTCTTATAGTTACGAAGACCAGCCAGCCATTCCCGAGGCAGCGGCAGGCGACAGCAAGGCAAAGAAGTCCGAGTGAATACCAACATCTCCCATACGATAAGCACAAATCGTTAGCACATCCGTGTTTTAACTATATTCCAAGAGTATATATTATTTTTTACATACATGACAATGCTACGGGACCATTGTGGCGCGTGGACTTGATTAATTTGCATTTTGGTTAGATGAGAGGAATTTTATAAACCGACTTTACAAAATGAGAGATTGACTATGTTTGCTTCCTTTGTTCTTCCATGGTGTTCGTCGATATGCAAGATGGTATTGGATTTTTGACTATATAAATATTTTTAAATTATTCTTAATAAACAGTGAAGTTGACCAAACTTCTTAGAATAACATCATTACTTCTAAATCCTAATTACATATTTTAGTATTTATGCCTGTATATTTATAAACCTAAAAACCGTTGTAATGAATTCCTTTTTCTAACATATTAACTGTAATAATATACAGAAAATAAAGAGTTATTTTTATTATCTATTCTAAACTCTGTGTGCGAGTTGATATTCTTTTAATTAAATATAAAAAATATATCAAGGTGTATGGTTGTTAAAAATGACAGATCTAAGGAAAAATAAATATATTTTTAATGAATTTATTACTCTTATATGGTAAGAGGGCTTGCACACTGTTCTAATTTGAAGAGAGCTGTGCTAATAAAATGCCTATTATTTTTCACATTGGAGGTATGAGATGTCATCTCCATCGAAATAGGTTGCTATGATAAATGTCTATGATTTAGAGATATGACCTGATATGAATATTACCTGTTTAATACCTACTAAAGTCCGGCCGCTCAGGGTTTTCGTTTCTGACAGGTCGGGATCGAATGGGCGATGTAACTTTGAACTGACGTACAATTTATGGCAAAATTTTAAATATATTTTATTTGCCTCATTAACGAGTGATGTCATTAAAAATTTAATTATTATTCTAACTTACAATAAACGTATTAATTTTGGGCTAAAATTATTAACTGCGTAACAAATATAAAAACAATTGTTTTAAAAGTCACATCATATCAAACTGCGCTCTAATATCCTTTTCTTGTATCATAAACGTATAATTCTTTCTTTCTTGTCTTTATATGTTGTATTTATAACATCCAATACCCTCTTGTATATCCAAAAGGCTATATATGGTCTTTTGTTTTTCATAATTATACTAGGTTGTATGTTACTGTGTTAGAATATAAATTAATGTTTATAAATTAAATTGCTATCAAATAATATAATTTGGACCGCGTGACTGCAAAATGTTTCTATTTTAAATATTTTTTTATAATTATATTTTCTTCGGAGGTCAGAGAAATCATTGTACATAAATATTTTGTTTTTATAAAGAAATGTAACTTTAGTTAAGATTTTGTTTTGTTATTCTTTAATAGAGGAAAATCTATTTTTTTTTCGGACCTATTTTGGATATATCTATTTTCAAGTTACCAAACCGTCACAATATTTGAAATCGCTATTGTCCAACTAAATCTATTGTTTCTATAATGTATACATATACCTATAGGTAATGTTGTGAATACAATAAACTTATAGTACCCTTATTACTCTATAAAGGTACAAGAATTCCCGTAGTTTCATTTATAACACCCCAAATTAATAATATACTATCTAAGGACAATTCACACAGCGTCATCTAGTCCCAAGCTAAACAGAGCTAGTGTTATGGGAACTGGACAACTGATACAAATTCATAAATACTTTTTTTTTTACATAATATACATTTTCTATGTATATTATGTATGTATTTACAAAAATATACAATATACTATGGGTATATTGTACATATATAATATAGACCGATACAATCATAGTTAATACAAATGCTTGTACCGTGCGAGGAATCGAACCTGCGACCATCATAAGTAAAGCGGTGTACTGAACCGCCAGACCACCGAGGCCGTCAAAGTAAAGAATGATAATAGAGAAATTATAGCCAGATTTATAGCAACATCACTACGGATACCATACTATCTTGTGATACCCGATATACCACTCATGGGTTGCTAGGGACTATGAGGACTAAGGTATCATGCTTCTTATCCTGTAATTTTACCACCTAATCAACAACTAACACGTAGAAATTTGTGTATTCCACAAGAAAATGTTTACAAACCGTATACCTGCCTTAAAACCATGTTTGTTTTATAAAGGACTAGCTGTGCCCGCGGTGTCACTTGGTTGAAATTTGTAGCCTATGGTGTTATTTTGATGTATAAGCTACATTACTGTAAAGTTACATCACAATCCGTTCAGTAGTTTGCGTGAAAGAGTAACAAATATCCATTTAACCATCCACACTCACAAACTTTCGCGTTTATAATATTAATAAGTTAATAAAACCACAACTGTATGTCAAATATTTATAATTAATTCTTATACATTGTAACGTATAAAAAAATCTTATATTAGTGACAGGTCAATCTGATGAAGATCATCAAATGCAGACCATTGACTTATCCTCTGTAATGCGTTGTTTCTTTATACTAATACATACTTTTAACATTACGTACGCATAATAATAAACCAAAGATCTTGCAAAATAAACTTTAAAATCAAGAATGTAAAGGCCATTCTTCAAACACTTTCAATTTCCGCTTTTATTATTGACATCTATCTAGCCCATACTAATGGGGATCAACTTTACAACGGAATGAGCTCTCATATTGGTCTTTAGTCGCTTCAGAAGTCCATCCATGTGTTAGTGTACGATCAATCATGGATTTGTGTAAGCCCATCCATGGGTATGTGTAAGTCCATCCATGGATTTGTGTAAGACCATCCATGGATTTGTGTAAGTACATTCATGGGTTTGTGTAAGATTAACCATGGATTTGTGTATGGATTTGTGTAAGACCATCCATGGATTTGTGTAAGTACATTCATGGGTTTGTGTAAGATTAACCATGGATTTGTGTAAGTCCATCCATGGGTTTGTGTGCCCTATACACTCATAATTTTCGTTTGGTGAGACTGAAAAGGCTATTTAGGGGAACAGAATTACAATCAATCAAGTCATGTCAAGATCAAGTCAATCAAATACAAGTACAGTTGAAAACTATGGTTCCAGAGGATATTTTAAGGGCCTGCAATTATTTAGGAACTTTATACGAAGGATAACAAATTAAATTGTTTCTATATTTATTTCATATAACTCGTCAGGTTTAATAGATTTATACTGTCGAGGGATTAATACTAACGGACTAATACAGTTTCATTGGCGAGTTATATCAAATATATTAATAATAATATCTCTGGACAATTCACAAAGCGCCATCTAGTCCCAAGCTGAGCAGAGCTTATGTTATGGGTACTAGAAAACTGATATAAATACATAGATACTTTTTTTTTATAAATACATATATAAAACACCCAGACCGATACAAACAATTATATTCAGGGATACAAATGTTTGTACCGAGCGAGGACTCGAAGCCGCGATCATCGGAACTAAAGCGGTGAAGCCGCTAGACCACGGAGTCCGACGTTATATGTTAATTAGTTTCTGTAATACGGCTAGCTAACTATGTTGACTAGACGAAACGATTGTAATTATAGTTGTTAGTTCATTCTACGGGCAGGTTCTTGTTGGTATATCCCAGGCCTGTACATTCTATTATGTGATGATCATCATTCGACTCGACGTTGAATTTTATCTGAAATGTGAAAGAATACATATTAGTGTGGGGAAAAAGGGGATTGTTAGTAATGTGGACTGATGACCCCATTGCTAGCAATGTATGGTACATTCGGTTGACCTCCCCTGGAAACCATCATAAGAAATTCCTGGTAAATTTATTATGATTAGCCAACTGACCTGACCTCATGTTCATCTTACCATCTTCTACTGGCGCCCCGCCAGCGTAAACCGTTAGTGCAGGCGGGTGCACTGTTCAATTATCATTAATTAAAAAAAAATTACAATGCGAGTACATGCAAATGTTGCAATGCAACGTTACACATTCTCCATTTCATACACTGTATACTCGTGCGAAGCCGAGTTGGGACGCTAGTATAATATAAATAGTAAGTACCAACCTTAGCAATTAATTCAACAATATGTATGGCCGTTTTGGTATGTAACGTTAACTCTTCAGTCTTCACGGCGGATTTTCCATCCGCTAACGCCATATATATTATCACTTGATCCTGCCGGACAAATACATACATATGTTGTTCAATCTGCCTGAATAGAAAAAGATCATCTGTCTGTCTAAAATATTCAATATCTTGTGTATGACATACTTTCGTTTAAACGAAGTGCTTTCTTGTTCTATGTTTATTTATTTATACATTTTTAACATTATTTACTCATTGCTCTGAAAATACTTGTGTATATCCCTTCCTGTACATACATGTGCGTACCTCATTTGCCCTTAAAAATGTATAGGCATTTTTTACATACCCATTTTTTCCCTACCATGACATTGACTATTGCAAAGACCACACCTTATGGACCGCCACGCGTTCGCGACGTTCTTAGCATATAGTTAAAAACGAGTGGTGAAACTAAGTTTTGCATGCACTGGACCCATGATACGAAAGAATATCGAAGCACTTGGAGCATCGAGAGGTATGACTGAAAAATATAATCTCACACGCTTCCACTTTTTTTCCCTAACTACGTGTGTCCCGTGCGTTGCCGGTCGAGGCAGGCCGCGAGCTGCACATACCTGCGCGTGCCGGTCGAGGCAGGCCGCGAGCTGTACATACCTGCGCGTGCCTGTCGAGGCAGGCCGCGAGCTGCACATACCTGCGCGTGCCGGTCGAGGCAGGCCGCGAGCTGTACATACCTGCGCGTGCCGGTCGAGGCAGGCCGCGAGCTGTACATACCTGCGCGTGCCGGTCGAGGCAGGCCCGGGCGCGCCACGTGGCCGCGAGCTGCGCCCCGAGCGCGCGCCCCACGTGTGCGGCGACAGTCCCCCGTCGCCCGAGTTCCCCGCCGCCCACTACGCAGCCCCCGCTGCCGCTCAGCGTACACGACACGCTGGTTACAATGGTACCGAATTAAAAACCGTAACATAACACACGAAGCGAAGTAGGCCGAGATTTTTTTAACCTTATAATTTAGTGACGGCGTCGGTAGTCCATCGGTTTTACTTCCGATGGTCGCGGGTTCGATTCCTTGCACGGCACAAACTTTTGTATTATTTGCATCGGTCCGGTTGTTTTCTATGTATATAATGTATAATATGTACGTATTTAGGAAAAAATATATGTATGTATTTGTTTCAGTTATCACCTATAACACACGCTTTAGCTAGCTTAACTTGGATCTAAATGGCGCTGTGTGAATTCTGAGATTATTTATTATTATTATAGTGACTTCTGAATACATTGGAATGAAAAATATTCAAATTCCAGTTAAATGTGTACAATATTTATTAACTATTTTAGATATTGATGGTTAATACAATAGCGTACTCCATGAGACAGCCATATGGCGGATTGAAGTTATCTCTTCATTGAACCAGCTACTTACATGATTCCGCTGCAATTGTCCCGTGCCATCTCCTCTTTGTAACAATGTATGTTCACATTTTTGCATTCCGACTTGAGGTGTTCTTTCACACCGTCACTCATTTCGTACGCCATCTGTTCAATACAATGTTACAAAGTCCTATTTAATTTTTTAGATTGTCGTCCTGTACTTACTATAGTTAGGATAGATGTTTTTTTTTTAACCCTATTGAATGTGGCTTGTTTGTAATCATCATAGGTAACAAACAAACATACGGCCTTTCTGACGGTAAATATACCGTAGCCTATGGTCGCCTGGGACCAGGGGTGTCACGTACGCGTTGCCGACCCTTAAGAAACATTAATATAGGTATATTTTGACAAATTCCTGCTGTACTCTCGTGAGAAAAGCTCGGCAGGTAGTTAATTCCACAATCTAAGTGTATACGGGAGGAAGCTCCTCTGAAACTGAACTGCCCGAGACCACTTAAGTTCTAGCGTGTGGGGTTATCCCCACACCGCCGCCGGCATTGACTATGTCATAGACTCATGTCTATGACATAGTCAATGGCGAGCTGTGCGATGGTAAAAGAAAGCCGTACGTTTTGACTTTTAATTATTTCTATTAATAAGTACTAATCCAGTACCATCATTAAAAAAAAATTGTAATCAAACAAATAAACAAATTGTGCCTAAATATTAAGTTGTACATATTTAATTTAATAGGGGCGCTGTCTTCCTCATGGTGAGCACCACGGCCCCAGTGGGGGATAGAGGAGGGGCGGAGTTGGCTATGCCCCTGACTCTAGGGCGGACTCTTCTTCAGCGGGGGATTAGTGGACCTGAAGGGTCACAATCTCGCTCTCTCTCCAGCGCCTTAAATAACTTCCTCACGAGGAGCTTGTCAACTTGGATACTAAGTACTTACCCAACTTTAATGAAAGGTTTTAGATATTTATTCTCAGTAAGAATTACATTTAACCTTAAACCTTAATGAAAGAAATTCTTATACCTTAATAGGCAGTGCACCCGCCACAAAGCTGGTTCCCTTCACACTGGTGATGGTGCCGGAGTCCAGTAACGTGATGCTGTTTAAGCGCCTAATGGGCGTCACATTCACTTTCACGTGACCACCGCCCCTCGGATAGTATCTGTAATGACAAATTACGCGTATAATTGGGTTAAGTGTTAATAGGTATTAGTAGTCACCCAGTGGTCGAATTTCGACCATAATAAAAAGTACAAAACATCTTTGAAACAGTAATAACAATTAAATAAAAAAGATGTGTCAAATGGATGATAGTATGTGTAATTTTTTTTAACTGATTTAATGTATTTTTTTTACACAATTACAAAAAATATTAGCATTTTACTCTCCTTCATATAAATAGAAAACTGCGCTGACGTCATTACAAGTGTGCAAAATTTCGTACTCCTCCTTTAGCGCAATTTTCTATTTATTGTTTGTTTAATTTTAATAAATGATTTTATAAATGTACATGCATACAAAGTCGCTGTACGACTAGTAAACTATATAGGTTACTAGCTACTCGCCACGGCTTCTCACGGGTGTACATGTATTATATATATAAACCTTCCTCTTGAATCACTCTATCTACTAAAAAACCGCTTCATAATCCGTTGCGTATTTTTAAAGATTTAAGCATACATAGGGACAGACAGCGACAGCGACTTTGGTTTTATACTATCTAATGTAATGACAGGTAAGTACCAATTCGGCAATTAATAAAAATTATTACAACTAACCCTCTTCTATGAATTTTTAAAGAAAAATTAGCGCCGAATTTCTGCACCAGCGGTCTGAAGATCATATCCATGTAGTCTATCTGCGGCGCCATTTCCGCGTTAGTGCCTCCACGAAGGTCTAGAGTCACAGGGCCATCCGCCATCAGGGCGAAAGGTAGCGCCACTTGTAATAGTAGGCTGATTGATCTGTGACAATTATTTGTAGTGTTATATACTGTGATGTTATATCCCATCAAAAACATACATGTGAAATGATAGCCGAGTTTAATATTATGATATATGCCTTGATTGAAAAAAAGAGGTCTAAATTTCTTTCAATGGTCTAAAAATATTATTATTACTTTCGATATCACGCCGTATATGAAGTCGCGGGGTACAGTATATTATCTATATAAAAAAATGATATTTTATATTGTTATAAATACATTTCACAATTGCCATTTAGATAGTCTCTTTTGTCGTAGAAGTCAACAATCAAGGTATATATCATTATTAAACTTATCATTTTTTCCTTTATATTCACCTAATTACCTATCTGCATACAAATTTGAACTTCCTAGGTCATATATATTATAATTTTGATCTTAGTTGATCAGTGATAAAAATGACGATTTTTGGACATTAATATCTAAATAACCGTTTGAGATATGTTTATGAAATTTGGAACACATATTTATCATTACCAATTAAAACCAAATTTGACAGGTTTGTGTGAATATGAGTTTTTGAGTTATGAGAAAAGGGCCAAATGGTTGATTAAATATACAAAATGCTTGCCATTAAAATCAAATTTAGTAGCTAAACTGCCAGCGCGTTTTTATATAAGTCAATGACTTTAATTTCACCGGACGATAGCGGGCCCAAACTCGCGGATGGACTTAATCAACTATCGCCTGACGGATACGACTTTAAAAGATATATAACTTACTTCTCAGTGTAAATTTTTGTTAAAACGTTTAAAGGAATTTTTGATATAATTATTTATCGTATTGCGATCAGCTCTCTGTATTCAACCATCTATTTAGATAGATTAATAACATAATTTTACGCACATAAGTTGTAAATTATTGCCAATAAAATATCTACGAAACGAAAAATAGTGGTTTTATTCTACATTTTGACTACAGTGACCATTTTTCAATCCATCCAACGTTTGGTTCATTCTTGACATGATCGTTAATTTGTGGTGAAAGCATGATAATGGGACAACTGAGCATGAGGCTCATCCTCTCATCCTCTACTGGTGAAAACTATCTGTTAGCGCACACGGATGCACTATTATATTACCATGTATTATTATTATCCAATTGTTATTTAATAAATATATATAAATAAATAAAAAATCCTACCATATATCATAAAAAATATTCTTATAGATCAATATTTTGTCACGCGTATGAGATAGCAAGAACGAGACGGCTAAATCTATACATATATATAAAATTGGAGTGTCTGTTTGTTATATTGAAATAACCGTTTTTACTACATGCATAGAATGAAAATACGGTGTATATACCATATTTTCATTCGATACAAATAACATTTTTTACAATTTTTTGTCTGTCTGTCTGTGTGTTCAGCTAAGCTCTGAATGGCTGGACCGATTATGACGGGACTTTTTTGGCAGGTAGTTGATTTAATAAGGAGTAACTTAGGCCATTTTTATTTTAGAAAAATTCTTTTCTTTTGGAAAAATAAAGTTCATATCACGCCGACAAAGTCGCGGGGTCAGCTAGTATACTATAAAAAAATATCTGTGAACAATTCACACAACGCCATCTAGTTCCAAGCTAAGGAAAGTTTACTTTATGGGTACTAGACAACTGATACAAATATGACGCAAATATATATTATATAGTTTTTAACTGACCAGATCTCATACTCCTATATCATCCTATAATCCTCCACTGGTGACCTGCTAGCGTAAAACGTTAACGCAGGTGGTAGCACCATTTCATTACCATCCATTAAAAAGACCTGCTAATATGAGCCCACTCTTAGAAAAGGGCCAAATCGTTGATTAAAAAGAAAATGACATTAAAATCAAATTTAGTAGCTAAAATTGCCTCCTTTTATATAAGTCAATGAAATTAACCACGCCGTCTTAATCATTATCTAAATACATTTAAAAAGATATATAATACTTCTGTGTAAATTTTTGTTAAAACTTTAAAGGAATTTTTTTTTTCTTATTTATCTGCGATCAGCCCTTCCGGCTATAATCAGATTAAAAATAATAATTTAAAAACTTTAAATGCTTGTCTTGTAAATAATGTACATTTTGAATAGTGCCATTTTTCTTTTTATTTATTCTTACCCAGCAGTCTTTGGGTCAGCGACATAATGACCTCCTCTAATCTTCCCCGGTGAAAACTCTATCTCAGTAGACCCAATAGTTGCCCCTTTTAATTTTGCTCTACACATCTCCGCCACTAGCTGGATTCCTGAAAAAATATCAATATTTCAACTCAAAGAAAAGAGGTTCTATATGTTTGTGTTGTCCCGGAATTGTTCTGCCTTAAACAAAAAATTAGGGGTGGACTATCCAACATTTAGGGGTGAAAAATAGATGTTGGCCGATTCTCAGACCTACTCAATACGCTCACAAAAGGAGGAGGAGTATGGGAACGAAAACTGTGACAGGAGAATTTTATATATAAGATTAGTGAAAAATTGCGTTCAGATTGTGTGGTAGAATAAAAAATAAAAATACTATTAAAAAGTGCTTATATCAAGTTTATTTGAATAAAGATTATTTCAATTTCTAATATTGTTTGTATTTATAAATTTCTTAAGAGTGTTACCTCGGGACTTTTATGTATGTGTACCGATTTTGATACTTTTTTTTTTATTCTAAAGGTGGTACTCATGTTATCCCTTATAAGTTTGATAAAACTAACCACAAATAATAATAAAGAATAATAATTAAGGACAACAAAGAACAAGAACTACTGGATTTTTTTTTATATTAAAATAATATAATAATATTTTACCTTACATATATCTGATTTTATTTTGACTTCAACTCATGACTGTTAAGCATCAGACTAATAAAACACTATGCCATGAGACTTACATTTTACAATACATGTGTATATACCCTTTACATGCTGTGCTGCTAATCCTGGTTTCTGCCGGTTAGCTCTGATGTTATAGATGCGAACTGGAACGGACAACAGTGCACTCAGAGCTACAGACATGCGAAGTATCTGACCTCCCTGGAATTGAAAAGATATTTAGTAACTGGCAGGCTACTAGCTGTTGAGAAACTTTTTAAATATTTTTATTTAAAATTCTTTTAATATTTAAAGTTTAGTTTTTGTATACTTTAATCAAAAGTATAAAACATAAGTCTATGTGTGTTACCTCACTATCTCTACTGCTACCATTAAAATATTTATTTAATTATAAATTGTTTTACATTAAAGTGGAACTGGGCAGGGAACTTGGCAGGACACAAAGACAGGAGATAGACTATTGTAACAATAAAATGGACGGGTCCAACACACAAAAGAAGAGTAGAACCACAAAACAAAAGATGGGCTGATGTTATAAAGAATAAATCCAAGAAAAGATTGTCTAGTCTCTAACTGCAGCAGAACAATGAAGTTCTGAGAAGCCTAGGAAGATATCAAGAAGTTTCTCCGAGAGGACAAAATACGCTACAAATTAATTTAAAAAGTTTTTTTTTAATACTTACCCCTTCTAGAACACTTCCATCAATTTCTAATAATTCAGACATGATGTTTCTTAAATAAAATTGTTAAATCAAATAAAAATAATGTATTTACTGGGCACTTTATCTTTATCACAGAAAATACTTTATTTCCAGTCAAGAATTTAGTTCCCTTCAGTAAGTAGTATATTCTTTGCTTCAGTACTTCGCTGTCCACGAACACCGGAAAACTGACGACGAGGAGAGGTGGTGTGGTTAACTAGTTATTTACAAATTCACGAATTCCACGAATTCCCATGTACAATATCTATTAGGGATGTGAACGAATAACCGATTGTGGTAAAAATAATAGAATAAGAATAATTTTATACAATTTTTTTTTAAGATTACTGCAAACTTTGACAATAGGTTAGTTTACTCTTTGGTAGGAAAATACAGTGTGTTACCGAAGTATAAGCATTCATTTTTCTACAAGGCATAGTATTTTCGTTTTGATGTTTTCGTGCAAAAAAGTCTTTCAAAACCTGTAATGCATCTATCATAGCATATTGTTGTTACAATATGCTTTGATAGATGCATTAGTGGTACAAGGAACTGCCTCGGTATTTAAATAATGACCTATATACCAACATGCAATAAAGAACCTTTAATATAACATTTTTTTAAGTAATTGAAAGCTCACAAATCAATTTTTTTTTGTTACATATCATTTTCATGAGCCCCTTTTTCATTCCATTATCATGTTCGGTATTATGGAAAAAAACCGCCGTACGGTTTTCGTTGCCCAGCACTAATTTTTAAACAGAGTGGCTGTCAAAATACTTATTTGCCAGGCTATGTTTTAGACAAAACTTCCAATAATAATATGAAGATTAGTTTATTGAAAAGATACAGTTTTTAAACAATAGCAAGTTATTTTTATTGCGGTGTTATGAGTAGGTATATTACATTTACCAATGTATTAGATCTTATTTTTATTACCAAAATTTAACTTAAGAAAATAAATTAAATAAAAAAATATTACTAATTATGCAATGTGATGTACCTAATAATGTCTTTGTAAATTAAGAAATTCATCTTATTTTGATCTAATGTATTTGAATGAAATACGTACCGTAGGTATGCCGTATTACAAAATCTACAACTTTTTTTAAAAAACACTGTGTAATTACGATTTCTTTAAGAACAAAAATGAATATTTTTTTATTTTTTATTAACATCCAAAACTATATGAATGTATTTTTATGAAACAAATATGTATTTTTATGAAAGATTTTAAGCGAGATGATCATTACTCAGAAGTTACGCAAATTGATGCAATTAAAATATATAGCAACACTGATGAGCAAAACAAAATATCCCGTTTAAATTTAAGCTCCATGAGCTTTGTTTCGGGTGGTCCCTAATAAAATACCGGATGTTGATCTTATTTATTACATGACCATATTTATTTAATTACTAAATATTATTATTATCTTTAATCATAACACTAAATTGCATTGAAAAATGAATAACTATTTGTTCTCTATAAGAACAGAAGGAAACATTGTTATGAAGTAGTCAAAAGTTAAATGTATTTATATCGCATGACTTTGTTTACTGTATTGAAATGTTTTTGCCGTAGTATGGACACGGAAACGGAAACACGGAAGAATTTAATAATAATATTATCTGTAGTTGAAATTTAATTATTTAAAAAAGTATCGACCCAATTAGCTTAAGGCGAAACTATATGTTCTATATACTTAATATTCTTACCTAGTATACTAAATTTTAAGAAAATAGTTTCTAAATTTCGGATAAAATAAATCTCGGATTATTATTGTTATTGGCGTTTCACCGGGAAATCAGTTATGGAAATATTTTTGGTATTAATCTGATTCGAACTCTCGACGCACTGTCAACGACGTATTACATAATGTACTTTGTAAAGGCCTCTAAAGTGTAACTACATGTAGATTAGATTGGATATGGCTTGTAATTATATCTAATCAATATCTGAAATGACTAAAACTAGTTTTTAATGTGTATTTACTTAGAACAAAATTTATTATAAGATCAAAACGTAAGTTTTTTTGCTCATTCTTTTCTGATGAATGAGAAATACTCACTGATGCGTATTTCTTTTTTTTTTTACTACCCCACTGCTTTTAGCCGCACCTAGCCTGCGGACCCACGGAAGAACGTGAAGTTACGACTTTAGTCTGAGTGCACAGCTAGTGGTCGAACCGCTTAGCGGTGCCCTCAGACTAAAGTCCATTAGGATTTGAATTGGATGGGGGATTGATCGGACGGGAATCTGCGTTCTGAATGAGTTATACTATAAATAATTCTATTATATATACTATAAATAAAACTATTCAAAAGAGTTTATATTAAGTTTCTTTGAATAAAGTATTTCTATTTCTAAAAATTGGCCATAAACTAAATAATCACTAAATGATAGGGATATATTTCTCAACTGGCTTTAATCAGCGCACACAAACACAGCGGAATCTCAGAAGAAAGTGTAAATTGTATTAGCGCATAAACAGTTTCTGTATGATTTTGTAAATTTATATAAACACTGGGTTTATATCTGATATGAATATAGTATTGAATTATTAATTATAACTAGATTTACCCATTATTAGGCTTTAATAAACTAAAAATTGTACACAACTATTTGACAGATAAAATATAAGTAAAATCTTCTTCTTATATTTAATGGCTTCACGACAATAGCATATAACAATCGCCCTATCATCATCATCATCATCGCAGCCCGGAAGACGTCCACTGCTGGACATAGGCCTCCCCCATAGATCTCCACGACGATCGGTCCTGCGCTGCTCGCATCCAATGCCTTTCCGCGATCTTGACCAGATCGTCGGTCCACCTTGCTGGAGGCCCTATACGTGCCACTTTTTTTCGGACTACTCTAATGCTGTTGGCCGCAGCTGGCCTTTACGCCTGGCCTGGCTTCACCGGACGATAGGGGGCGATTGCAGATGGCACTCCAAACCCGCAGAAGCACTTATGAAACGGCTGAAGGCCAACTCCCGCCTGACGGATACGACTTTAGTCTGAGGTCAAATTTCTTTAAGATCAGCGGTTTAATCGTGAAAAACTGACAATATAATATACAGAGACACATTTTTGCGTCTTTTAATATTAGTGTATAGCTTATTCTTTCTTTCTTTATTGTACACACACACACATAATAGAAAAAAAATTATACAGAATAAATGTAATGTACAAGGGCGAGCTTATCTCTAAAAAGAGATTTCTTCCAGCAAACCTAGAAAATGTTATAGGATCGTGTATTAAATAGAATAGTCATACATACGTGTACGAAAAGAGGAGATATTAAAATATTGTTTTAATGATATTAACTATAAGTATAAATAGACATACATAAATATATATATATATATAGACATACTTAAATGGTACATAAATAAATTATAAGACATACCTAAGTTAAAATGTAAATTATAATATATACCTAAATATATAAATATAAAAATACGTCAGCATTGTGAATGATAATACGCTTTTAATCGGCATTTGAATATTTCAATACTAGAACTGGCACGTATTTCGTGAGGTAAAGAGTTCCACAATCGAATAGCCGTCACCACAAAAGAGCTGGAATATGCCTGTCCAGAGTTACTGGAGTCCGCAAGAGTAATTTATTCTGAGATCGAGTGTTCATTTCTGTCGGATAGAGAAAATTAAAACGTTCGCGGAGATAGGAAGGTGCAGAAGGATTATGCAGGATGTTGTACAGAAGACTGAGAGTGTGAACATTCAGTCGAAAATGAAAGGGCAACCATTTTAACTGATTACGGTATTGAGTTATATGGTCAAACTTACGCAAACCAAACACAAACCGAATGCACATGTTTTGGAGACGTTCCATTTTGTTGAGCAGTTCACCAGTGGCATCAAGAAAACAAACATCTGCATAATCTAGGAGAGGTAAAAGGAGTGTATGAGATAATTCGACCTTCGTTTTAAATGGAAGAAATCTCTGAAGACGCCGTAAGGAGTGAATGGTCCCATATATTTTCTTATCACATGTTTAATGTGAGAAAACCAGGAGAGGTCACTATCAATGTAAAGACCCAAATCCTTTACTGTTTTAACGTAAGAAATTATATCCCCATTGTATATTATTGAAGGAATGTGCATTGAATCTAATAAATTAAGCATATATCTGCTGCCAATTATAATCGATTGTGATTTTTTGGTATTAACAAGCAGACCATATGCCTTAGCAAAGCCACAAATACACTCGAGTTCCGTATTGATCAAGGAGATAGCATTATCAACAGATGGTAGGTCAAAACTGCGGTACAGTTGTAGATCATCAGCATAGAGATGGAAGTTGCAAGAGATCACTTTCGTCAGTGAATTGATGAAGACAGAGAAAAGTAAGGGAGAGAGAACACCACCTTGAGGGACGCCGGCAATCAGTTCGCACCAATCTGAAGTATTCCCATCCAGGTACACGCACTGCCTGCGGCCCCTCAAGTATGAATCAAACCATTCTAAAACCAGTGGAGATACGTTAAAAGAGTAAAGGATGCCAAGGAAAATATCGAAGTCAATAGAGTTGAAGGCGTTACTGAAGTCTAATAAAGTGAGGATTGTGAGCTGTTTAGCAAGGTGAATGTCATCTAGTACTTTAATTAAAGCCGAAACTGTGCTATGGGCAGGACGACCCAGATTGAAAAGGAGATAGTAGGTTATTACTATATAGATAAAGGGATAATTGTTCATGAACAATATTTTCTAAAATTTTGGATAATACAGGTAGAATAGAAATGGGACGAAATTCGTTAAAAGAGCTAGGATTATTGGTTTTAGGAAGAGGAATCACGCGAGCATTTTTCCAGGCAGCCGGAAAAGAACAAGTGACCACAGAATGATTGATTATGTGAGTAATTATGGGCACAAGTTCGTCAATTATTAGTCGAATCATTTGTATACAAATATTGTCATCACCGACTGCCTTGGAGGAAATGGTAAGGATACTCTTTTTAACGTCACACTGGCTAATGATTTTGAAGGAAAAAGGCTCGCAATTGGGTTTAGACTGGCGGCGAAGACTATCAAGTGTTAACGCTTTGATACTGTCAGCAACGGTGACAGGAGGCGAGTGCTTATTAAGCGCATTATAGTCCAAATTAGAGGGACAAGTTGAAGAAGAAGATTTGCCAATACCCAATGATTTAAGAAGTCTCCAAATCTGAGCTGAATTATAGCTATGAATGGATTCATGAATATGGCGTCTCTTTGCATCTCTACACATCCGATTACACCGATTCCGCAGCTTTTTATAGTATAATAAATTATCTTCAGACGGAAAACGCTTATATTTCCGTTTAGCCTTATCCCGCCTCACCATCATATTTCTTATATTTTGGGATAACCATGGAGCAGGTAAATGCTTGACTTTAACTTTTCTGATAGGAGCATGCTTGTTGTATATTTGAAGTATGATTGAGTTAAAGTTTGCAATCATATCCTCCACTGAGTTACAATTTAATACGCAGGACCACTCAATGCCCGCAACGTCCTTCCTTAGCATTTCCAAATCAATTCCCTTAAAATTACGAAGGTCAAGAAGTTTAGGTTTGATTTTGGGAGACTGTAATCTGTACGATAAAAATATAAGGTCATGGTAAGAGAAAGGAGCCGTAAGCTGGCCGAAATTACAGACTTTATCAGAGTTTGAGACTATAATTAGGAACAGAGTTGGTGTGCTGTTAGGGGGATAGATTTTGAGAGGAAGTAAGTTAAGGTTTAATGAGGAAACAATAGAGGAAAGTTTATGAGCACGTGAATCGTTCTTGAGAAGACAGGTATTGAAATCACCAAGAATTAAACTGTGTTCATAAACAGGACAAAAGGACTCAAGGATGGATTCAAACTGCTGAAAATAGTCCACCCGAACAGAGGGTGAGTAGAACACACCTATTAAGAGCTTAATAGTATTCACAACTACCTCAATAAATAAATACTCCGCGGAGAATAACCGTGGCATCGGATTTTACTATTATGTTACTTGGTATGTTGTGACGCAAATAAATGGCTTCCACCTCCCCTGCCCATTCTGTCATTTCGAAGAAGGCGGTAACCAGGTAGACAGCACATTGTTGAATATAGTGACGGCTTATTAATCTGTAAGAATGTCCATGTTAAACGCAACCGACTTTTTTTATATGCTGCTACAGATAAGATAGTGTTATATACTAGCTGTTCACCGCGACATCTTCCGCATGGAATTTAACACATTTTTTATTAAAATAAATAAAGTTTCTAGAGACTTCGATTATACCTTTTTTTATGTGCAGCCATAGATATGATAATGTTATGTACCTACTAGCTGTTTACCGCGACATCTTAATATCATTTTAACATTTTATTTTATTAAAATAAATATTTTCTCTAAAATAAAAGTTGCCTAAGTTACTCCTTATTTAACATTAGTCACCTGCAAGTGAAAGTCCCGTCAAAATCGCTCGAGCCATTTCAGAGATCAGCACGATCAAACAGACTGACAAAAAATTTTGTAATTTATTTTTGATGTCATTGTCGTAAATACCTATATACATTCATATTAATCTAGTGAAAAACTATTAATTTGAAATTACAAACAGACACCTCCATTTTATTTATTTGTATAGATATATAGCCCAACCCTAAACGTAATACAATACAATGCGATATAGCTGTACTATGATAAGTTACTATGTTACATATGAGTAATACCTATATAGAAAATAAATATTTAGTACAGCGTATAGTTCTGGGTAGATAGGTATTCATATTTTCCTCTCTGAGTATGCGTTTTGCAATTAGATTGAGAATTATTTAACAATAAAACAAACATCATCATTGAATTTACAAACGTATTAGTAATTAGTGCTAAGTTAGTGTACATTTAAACTTTCTGTTTCGACTGGTTTCTGTTTCTCATTGGAGTTTGTTTCGGCTTATTTGGGCAATAAATTTACAACCGAAATACTTATTCGATCGTATGCATAAACTACAATATTTATAAGTATTAGAATATGTGAGTAATAATAATATATATTTCATAAGGATAATATATATAGTATAGTAATATTAAAATATATGTGTACTTCTATTGTGTATAACTTAAATTTTGTTTAATTATTGTTGATAAATAATTAACACTCAATTCAAAATGATGATATTTTAGATTGATATAGATGATTTTCTAAAGGGTTATTAAATTCTTTATAAGAATAATAATGATATCCCTGGACAATTCACAAAGCGCCATTTAACCTCAAGCTAAGCAGAGTTTGTGTTATGGGTACAGCTATTAGATATATTTATATACTACTTTTTTTGTATATACATACATAATGTACATAGAAAATACCCAGATTAATACAATCATATTCATAAATACAAATGTTTGTACCGTGCGTGAATTCGCACCCGCGACCATCGGAAGTAAAGTGTTTTGCTGTATTGCTAGATCACAGGGTCCGTAATACTTACTTATAAATAGGAAAAATTCCAGCTTCTAGTAAAAATAAGTCGTAATTCAAAATTTGTAGAATAGAATTTACTAATTCAGTGACTGCAGAAACCGAAATAGAAGTTTCAAGATATAACAGTTCCCGTGAATGATTCAGTATCTATTTCGATTGTAAAAAAGTTACGGTTGGACACTAACTACTGGATCTGACTAATCAAATAATATCAAGACTTGTATTATATGGACTGTTGATACATTGTTTAGTTATATTTATTTTGTGGCAAAGCAACTAAATCATTTAATGGAGATTTAGTACTACCTGAAACACTGGAAACAAAGAACATGCCTGAATTCTTGGATATTGATGGAAGCGTTATGGAAGGGGTAAATAATGTTTTAACCATATTTTCTTAATTATTAATTACTAAGAAATGTTTCTGTGCCTACTTTGGTTATTTATTTTGATGGGTAATTTAGTTTTATTAAACCTTGTAAACATGTATAATATTAATTTGAAAAGAATATGAGCTGAGTTTCTTGTCAGTTTTTCTCATCTCGAAATCATTCCGAACTGACGGTAGACTTGACATATCATAAGAGTCTGTAATAGACATGAATAAAGATTATTTGAATTTGAAGTAAATAATCCTAGATAACTCCCACAAAAGCATATTAACTGAGCAGAGTTGACATAAAAAATAAATTTTCTTCGTCATATTATAGTGATAAATAATTAAAATTGAAGTCTGTTTCTAATTTCAAATTAACAGCTTTTCTCTAATTCATATGAAAGTATAAGTGGTAGTAGACTGCGCTGGATGGTGTGGCTGAGGTCGTCGTCTTCCCTAGCGCGGACGGTGTCGTGTGTTTCTGTTATAAAGTGGTAGGGACGGAATCAGTGAGTCTGTCGGGGCTTGCTGCCGATATGGAGAAATAAATAAAAGCAAGAACATTTTAGAAAGGCTAATGTCGGGCATGGCACGAAAAAGGTTGGGAAACACAAATCTATACATAAAAAAATATAATTGGATCGTTGTTATTTCCAGGGTGGTCAAGTGATTCGTTTGTCCATATCACTGAGTGCACTATTGTCAATACCAGTGCGTGTATCGAAGATCAGAGCTGGCCGAGAGAAACCAGGCTTGAGAGCTCAACATATGACAGGTAGGTGTCATATCCATATCACAAATGCAAAATCGCAGAAGCAATTCTAAAATATATTGAATTTTTCTAATAATTACATTATGTGCTTTATATAAGTATGTTCCTACACTTGTAATATTTCTGGCAACCCATCCATTTGTACTTTTCCACATAACATAGATTTAAGTTCACTCAAAGTCAGTCCACGTTACGACTCCGCGCCGAATGTTCGCGTTACTAATTTTATTTTTATTTTTTATCATCATCATGTTCCTACCTTTAATATTTCTGGTCGGCGCATCCATTTGTCATTCTCATCCACTGATCTCTATCAGTTCATATCAAAGTCAGTCCTTCTTTTATTCATATCATCTTTCACACAATCCATTTTTTTTTTTTATTTTTTATATATCTTCACATTCATATTATACAAAAGGGTCCGGTTGAAACTAATCGGGTCCTTTAAGTATCCTATAAATGTATTTCTTTCTTGCAGTTTAATTGGCATATATATAAATAAGAATAAGAATAATTTATTTTTAATTATTTATATTATTAAATAATTTATTATAAAATAGGTAAACCATAATATCATCTATCTGCGCTTCTCTAATTAATTAAATAGTGCTTACAATATGTTTTAAACATGTTTCACATGTTTTTCAGGTATCAAGCTAGTGGGGGAAATGTGTCAAGCTCAACTAAAAGATGTATTTGTGGGGTCCACGCAGATTGAGTTCACACCAGGGAAGATTAGGGGAGGCCACTACAAGGCTGATATCAAAACTGCCGGGTGAGTTGCATTTTATGTTGTAAATATTATACTATTTTTTCATATATTGGAATGGCAAATGGACAAAAATTATAAATGCAAAAGTTTCTTAGTATGGATGGATGTTTGTTACTCTTTCACGCAAAAAGTGCTGAATGGATTTCGATGAAACTTTACAATAATATAGCTTATAAATCAGAATAAGATAGGCTGAAAATATCAGCTATTATATAATAAAAATAAACATTTAGGAATGGGTCGACATTATCATTGAAGGATATGAAAAATAAATGTTGGCCGATTCTTAGACCTCCTTTCCCACTACACACAAAAAATTTCATAAAAAAAAAAAGGTAAAGCAGTTTCAGAGATGTTTGATCACAAACACAACGAGACGAAGTTTTTATGTATTAGATTTATATAAAATGTTTAACTATTTCTATCTATTTCCATCTTATCTATATAATCATCATCATCATCATCATCTCAGCCCGGAAGACGTCCACTGCTGGACATAGGCCTCCCCCAAAGTTCTCCACGACGATCGTTCCTGCGCTGCTCGCATCCAATGCTTTCCAGCGATCTTGACCAGATCGTCGGTCCACCTTGCTGGAGGCCTTCCCACGCTGCGTCTTCCGATCCGTGGTCGCCACTCGAGGACTTTACTGCCCCAACGGCCATTTGTCCTACGAGCTATGTAACTGCCCATTGCCACTTCAGAGTCGCAATTCTTCGGGCTGTGTCAGTCACTCTGGTTCTTCTGCGGATCTCCTCATTTCTAATTCGATCACGCAGAGTATAATATATCTATATAATAATAATAATAAAATCTTTATCGTGCACAGACAAGAAATATAATAAAACATAAACGATTTTTGCAGTACAATCAGTCTTTTAATGCAAGTGGCGCTACCCTGTGCCCTGATGGCCGACGCGCCGGTGACGCTGGACCTTCGTGGGGGCACGAACATTGAAAATGCACCACACGTGGACTATATGGACATGATATTTAGGCCGCTCCTACAGAAATTCGGCGCCGACTTTACTTTACAAATACACAAAAGAGGGTTCGTATTTGAAAATAATCATTACATAGTATAAAACAAAGTCGCTGTCGCTGTCTGTCCCTATGTATGCTTAAATCTTTAAAACAACGCATCGGATTTGGAAGCTTGTGTTATGGGTACTAAATAACTGATACAAATACATATATATATATTTTTTTTTTCGTAACTCTATACATATTATACATAGAATACACCCAGATCGATACAAACAATCATACTCATGTATACAAATGATTGTGCCGTACGTGGAATCGAACCAGCGACCGTCGGAAGTAAGGCATTGCGCTACACTACTAGACCACCGTCAAAGTTGTATTGTATTTCAATATTCATATTTTTGACTTTAATAAACACAATTTTCCCGCCGTTTTACTTTTTTAAATCAGCGCGCTGCTATTGGCTGGCGCGACTGCAGTTATTTGACAGTGACGTTTCCAACTGTCAAAGTTTTAAGTTCAAATTGATATGATGACAGGTATTTTCCAAAGGGCGGTGGTCACGTCACCATGACCATCACTCCCATCAAGCGCTTGAACAGCATCACGCTGCTGGACCCCGGCACCGTCTCCACTGTGAAGGGAATCAGCTTTGTAGCTGGTGTGCTGCCTCTGAAGGTAATGAGAATGAGCTGTAGTAGAAACACGAAGGCAATTCTAGTGCTATTTTTTTTTGTTACGTACATTATTCAGCTAAGGCTTTATTTTATTAGATACAACACAATCTTAGAATTAGCTTATTTCAAAATATAAATAAGAGATTATTTATGACTGTAATGAAAATAATAGATTAATGGTTATTATTTAATTAATTTAAATTATTATAATAATGCGTATAATTCGATCTTGTTAACGAAAATTTGAATATGAACGTTTAACCGTTGACCCTTTATTTTTATTAATATGTTTTACGGCTCTGGATACAAAACACCCCACGTTGCAGTGTTGCAGTCTTAAAAATTTATTTTAAACCACACTTTCATACGACCGTCTGAACATAGTCTATAAGAATAGATTAAGTTTAAGTTAAACATTTTAATTTCCGCCGTGCGGTTTTCACTAATGTATTAGGCAAAGTTTAAATCTACATAGTGTTTGATTTAAGCCAACAGATTTCGAAATACAAAACTTATTTATAAACAATGTTTCGAATATATACGAAGCACGGGTAATAAGTTGCTATTGTACTCTATTGTAAAGAGGGAATATTTAATTTAGAACTAAGTAATAAAGTATATTTTACAGTTGGCAAACGTAACATGCGAGGGTTTTAAAGAAAAACTCCAGAACGAATGCAAGGAGCTAAACATACGTTGTTATAAAGAGGATACGGAGATTTCACCTTATAGCTGTTGCGGCATGGTGTAAGTGATGTAAATCCATATACAATAATATTACTTTAGTATGTAATGCATCATGATTAGTATTTATTATGATATAAGTGAGGATAATGTAATAGTATACCCGCCAACGTTAAAGGTATACGCTGACATGACACCAGTAGAGGATAATTAGATGAAGTCAGGTCAGTTAGCCCAGATCATCGGTCTCGGTGGACCGCGTGAACATTTAAAATACTACTGTTCTACTGTTCCTTAGCAATAGTAATGTCGTTCATACAACTCTCAAGTGACGTAATCAATAATAAATTATATGAACTGTTGTATATCCAGAATATCTCTATCAGGTTATGGGCCTATATTGCTGATGTATTGATCCCATATGTAGTCTTATTATTAAGAATTTTATGATATTTTTTGTAATAAAGATTTTGACAGACAAAAACCTGGGCCCATTTTACTATTTAGTCATGAATAATTAGTATTCTAGTACATAATTAATGTTCGTTTTAACACAGTTTAATTTTGTTTTCTTTTGCTATTATTATTTACTTTTCTTCTTCTTTATATTATGTATATTATTTAAATGTAAAAGGTATTAACAATCTCTTATTAGATTAAAAAGATAGTATTTTTATTTGAAATCTTTGTAAATGCTATCCAGCGTGTCGTGCTCACTGAGTGGCGGGGATAATGGCAGTGGTGGGTATATAGTAGGGGGTAATGTCTTGGTGCCTCGAGGGGTGAAGGCAGGGCAGGAAGAGGCGAGGAAGGCGGGACAGCAGCTAGGTGACCAACTCGCCGCTACACTTCGCGCCCGCTCTTGTCTTGACCATCACGCGCAGGTATGTGTAGCAGACCATAGAAACTACTACTTTTTTTTTATTAATTTATTCATGACCACAGATACAAGTCGTTCAGTAAAATACATTTTTTTTAAATGACATGAATATCTAAACTTACAAATAAACCATTAAATAAGCTTACACTTCAAATATTATAATTTCAGTAATAATCAGTTAATATGTATTTTTTTCACAGTATGTATAATGTAATTATATGTGTGAATGAAATAAGCAAAGATGGACAGTAAATCTTGACCGCAACGGGGAGGACACTACTGTGTTTTATAAGAGTTGCCAGCACTCTTATGAGAATTAAACCAAAATTGAATGTATGAAACAACCTGTACTAGTTCTAAAAAAGCTTGCACAGCAATATTTTATCGACCTGCTTCACTTCTATGTATATTTTGTACATCCGGATTCGGTGGTTTAGCGGTTTCGCACACTGCCTTACTTCCAATAGTCGCGGGTGCGATTCCTTGCAAAGTAGTTTGTATTGGTCTGGTTGTTTCCTATGTATATTAAATAACTAAATATTTATATCAGTTATCTAATATTCATAACACAAGCTCTGGTTGATGGCTCTGAGTAAATTGACCTGAGTCATTATTATTATATATTTTTAATACTTATTCCTACTTATAATATAAACTCTACTCAGTACTGAACTATAGTGATTTTAGCCAGACGTGTCTCATCCATTCAGCGGCCGCCAAATCCGCCATATATCTTTTTTAAAATTCGGATGATGGTTAAGAATATACAGTAGTGAAATTACAGTTATAACATTTTAGTCCCCCGCAATGGTGTAACCGCATTCTCCACTTCTGAAATGGATGAGCCGTTACATGATGTGACATTAATGATTTTTCACGTGTACTTACAGATTCGGCGATATAATTGTTACCGACGGTTGCCACTTACAATGGAGGCAATTCTTTGTCATTCTTAATTATTTTTGCGAATCCAGTTACACAAAAAACGTTTGCAGGATCAAGTAATTCTATACATGGCGTTAGCGGACGGAAAATCTGCGGTGAGGACTGAAAAGTTGACATTACATACTAAAACGGCAATACATATCGTTGAATCAATCACCAAGGTATTACAACTTGTTATTCTTACACATATTTCATTTGGTACTAATTTGGTAATAAAAAGAACAATAAATAAACATCCTAAGTATCGCACATGATACGAAATATTAAATACTTATGTTAGTAGAATATCAGTCGTGAGTAGCTTTAAACCAATGTACACCCACCTATGGGAGCGCGCAGAAAACTCGCGTTAATTTTGTTACCGAGTACCGGTGCATACCTTGTGTCATTATTCCAATCAGTCGGAAGGTAGACAGACAGCGCACTGAAATTGTTCTAGTGACCATAAATGACACTGAATGTTTGTTATTTCGATGATTTAATACCAAATTACTATTTTAGTATCAAGGGCCTGAAAGTATATCCTTTCAAATAATAAATATAATTTTGCAAATTGCTTTATAAAAGACGGCGTTCTCAGGTTACAAGTATAAAATAAACAAATTGAGAATCTTGTCCTCTTGACAATCATCAAATCTGTAGCATTATCACAGAGACGTGGCCTACTGTCATCTTGCAGATTAATTTCAGTTTGTTATCAATGTATCCACTTGATAGTAAGTTAGAAATACAAATTGCCAAAAAGTTTTTATGTGTTAACCAGATTCGAACAACTACGTTCAAAGAGATCTAACTAAATTAACTTTTATATTTCAGATAAAGTTCAACGTTCATTCAAATGATGATCACGACATAATAGAATGTGAAGGCTTGGGGTACACGAATGAAAATATTAAAGGTTTAAAACGCTCGAATAGCAGCCTCGGCGAATCTAATGATGACATTGAAGATACCAAACGTATTAAAACTATTCCTAGCTAAAAGGCGATAACATGTATAAAAAGGCTACAAAATAATTACATATCTACAATCTAAACGGCACTGATAGAAATACTTGAATAAATACTTCTTTGCAAATATACCTACATATATATGTAGGTACATTCATATATATAATACAAAAACTATTATACTTAGAAAATACCCAGATCAGTAGAAACATTCAAACTAATGAATACAAATGATTGTATCGTGCGGGAATTGAAGTCTAGAGCATCTAAAGTGCTAAACCGTTAAACCATTGAGGTCTCAATGTAAAATAAATACCTACTTAAATAGTAAGGTGGAATGTATAATAATGGTAATATTGACAACTGTATAAGATATATAAGAGGAAATCTAGTACCTGGATCTACAAATATGTTCAAATACAAAGTTTGTACAAACATATGCATTATCCCTGGCCGATTCCCAACGTAGCGATTAAACTTCAAATGAGCGTGTCATTTGTATAGAGGATAACCTAACATGAATAGAAGCGATATTAGTAACGCACACTTTATTAAATATTTTTGTAATTCTATATTTGTTTTATTTTCTTAAGTTTTGCCTTTTACTAATAACATGCATAAAAACTCTTAGCTTCTAAAGTCCTACTCAGAAACTTACTTTATTCTATATTTTTACCCTAACTACTGGAAAAAAAAATGCATGCTGACAACACTAAATATAACCGTTAAACATTTAATTGTTTGTCGAATGGGAATTTCCAATTTTACTTAATAAATGGAACTGTTTAAAATTATATTAATAATCCGGGTGATATTTTGATCGAATATGATATAATAAATATGATTTTAATCGAATTGACTGAAAAAACGGTAATAATCGAATACTCTGTCTCCATCAACCTATACTTATTTTTAATCTGTGAATTCAGAATTTTTGACATGACCGTACAATTTGACAGTAGTCTGCCGCCGCGCAAAATGTCAATAATTGTTTTGTTCGGTAAATTTTGCAAATTGGCTATTTCAAGAAAGTTCGCCATAAAACCTAATTATAGCCAATATAGATTGATTTTGTTGGATATTGGAGACTAATTATTCATGGAAGTTTAGCTGTAGCTGATAATCTGATTCATTGTCAGAATGCAGAGGAAAGCATGTTTCCCCGCTGCAAATTGCAGTATAAAAATGGTAAGTGAACTTGTTGATCAACTTTTTTAAACTGTTATTATGTTGTTATTGACGTGATTACACTTTGTACAAACTCGTCTGGGTGTGTATTTTTGTCGCACGTATTTCTGCCGTCAAGTAGGTCGTTTTATGAATTGTATTTTCGTTTTAAATAAGAGATATGGCACAGCTATCGGAGTAGGACATCTTAGTACGCAGAAATTGCAACGTACATACGTTGCAATTTCAATTTCTTTCAATTACCAGGAACTTTACATGACTACGTAATATCCTTGGTGTTGTTTATGTATTATGATACTTTCATCAATAGTGTTATCAGCATATTTGCTAGTATAGTTACCATAAACATTTTGTTATTTTAGTTTTTGTAATATTATTGTTTATTATTATTATTATGTAATATTATTATATAAAACATTCTATGTAGCTTATATCAGTTTATGTCAACAATATATTGTCTACCTACATTAACACACTTTATTAATAACCAAAAATATACCCACATTTATATATATACAGTTAGCTACCGACAACTATTTCAATCCGTCAAATCAAATCAAAATATCATTCACGTAGGCCTATTACATATTCTTATGATATGTCAAAAACTACCATCAGTTCGGAGAGCATTCAAGCTAAGAAGAACTGACAAGAAACTCAGTTCTTATACTTTTCAAATGAGCTTGTAAATGTTTACAAAAATACAGATTCATTTTTAAATTCAAAATTAGGGAGAATAGAGTGTCCACCAACATATACTATTGCCATTTTGTCAAAAGAAAATAGTCTAAACAGTGACCATATCCAGACGAGTTCCAGTGTCACAGTGTCAACTGTGTTATGCAATTACTTTATTGATTTTGAAAAAGGGCAAACACAAACAATTATTAGTAGGGTTTTCTGTTAGCACCTGAAAATAGCCCAAAACTCTTAATAAAATACTCTGTTTACTTCATAGCCCGAAAGCATAAGTATGCCCGTCCCAGAGAATATGGTGTGTGAAGACGAAAGTGAACAGCAGCAGAGGCGGCAGCAACTGATTAGTTTTGGCCATTCACAGTGGGGCTTCAACAACTGGAGTTGGACGGTTACCAAACAGGAACTTGGTAAATATATGTTTATTACTTAGAAGCTACCTGCTCTGGCTTCGACAGGTGTACATGTATTATACATGTACACCATCCTCTTGAATCTCTCTCTCTTCTCTCTCTGTTAAAAAGATTTAAGCGATAACACAGTGGAAGCTTTCATTTCATACTATTAAGATTAAGATTTATGTAATGTGTAAAATTTTGTTCTTGCAGATTTTGTTGATTTTGCAAACGGAAAATATTGTGCGGGTGTAGTCGCATTTGTCTCAATAACTGTGAAGAGTTTGGACATACACAGAGAGAACATAGGCTATGCCACAACTATTGCAAATAATAAAGGATTTGCAATTTATAAATCTAGGAAGGTAAATTTACATATTTATTTACTTTTTTTATAATCAATTTCTATTTTTATAATATACCTATGTATATTTGTGTGTTATTTTGTACATTGTACATGTCCTGAAGATTACATGTAAAATCAAAGACTTGCTGTACATGATTTCTTTTACATGAATTTTAAAGAATTTTTATTTTTCAATTATTGGGGAACCATCAATTATTGTGTTCATTCATTTTATTTATTCACTTTATTGCATGACACTGTAAAGGATTAAAATAAACTAACTAATAAAATTTGCATAAAAGATAGAAAGGCATAGTAGTCTGTCCTAGATTTATTTATTCACAATTTTTTTGACAGTGTGCTGTAACAAATGCCTTGCGAGAAACATTGCTCAGTTTCGGTGGTACTGTTGCCACTGAACTAATGGATATCCTAGACATCCACAAGAACGATGTCAGTAGCATGAACACGGGGCCATCGTCCGAACAGTTGCCGGAGAATAACCAGAGTTTGCCTAACAAGCAGACAGAACCTAAGAACGCTCCCGTCAACAAGAATGCGAGGAAGGACTCCTCGGATAGCTGCGGTTCGAGCGTAGCGACCAACATGCGGCCGCCGCCGCCTGCGATTAAGAACGCAATGGTTCCTAACCCGCCGCCGGTCGCGAAAGCGCATCCGATGCCGGCCAGCATGCCGCCCGCCGCCAACCGGCCGCTGGCTGCCAACGCGCCTCGCCTTCCGCCTGCCTGCCCGCCCGGGCCTCCGGGGCCCCCGGGGCCCGCGCACGTGCGCCCCAACCCCAACGTAAGTTTCGTGCTGCAGCCCGTGATGGGCGGCGTGGTGCCCCCGCTGTACGCGCCCCCGCGTTTGGCCCCTCCCCACGTGGCGCCGCCCCACCTGTTCCCCAACACATACTACGAGTACTCGGCCGGTCCATGGCACTTCACGTACGAGAGCTACGACAGGCATCACGGTAACGTAAACTTGAACTTCAACATCCCACCGAAGAATCTGGTCGTGAACAGCCGCTCGGGCTCGCTGGAGTGCAAGAACGCATGCGGGGTGCGGCAGGCCCAGGGCGGACCGGAGGGCGAGCCTATACAGTACGCGACGCCTCCCCAGAACCAGAGCTGCTGGATAAAGCCGACGATCTTCTACGACGGCTTCTGGACGGAGCAGAAGGTGAAGAAGTGGGTCGCGGAGCAGGTGGAGAAGCAGTTCCCTGAAGATGCGTCGCTGAAGTCGTCACCGCCGTGTAACAACGGGCATCCAGACCCGCCTGTCTCCAAGTCGTAAATGGGTTTGAGCTTTTAAATGTATGTATGCTACATTAAGTATGTAACTCTTCGCCTAAATACATACTTTGGTGACAACTGCACAAGTGTTTGTTACTTATGGATAAAAGTTTTTTTTATAAATATTTCAGCACACAAAACTTGGGTGTGATTTATAAGAAATACAAAATGTTTTTTGGTGTTAAATTAGAAGGTCTAATTTTCCATGACTCCACACTGAATGATTTTCTCAAGATATTGAGATTATAACGTTAATCATGCTATGAAATACGTGTGTTTAAAAGTATTTTGCATATATGTCACATGATCGGGCGAAATCAACATTGATAAACCCAAATGTGGACATTTTACTCATAGAAATAGTTGAAATCTGTTGTCTATCATAATCGAATCGATAAATTTATGGACGAGTCTATTCGGTTATCGTTTCGATTAATCGAATAGAGAAATCGCTCTATGTATGGCGTGTCTAGTATAATAGTTACAACACATTGTCTACAGGTACTCTTATCCAATGCATGTTTTTTAATAATAGGTTTATAAACGAAATTTCTCACTATGTCGTATAGTTGTTTAAATTAGAAGTCTGGTTGATAGTTAGTGAATATATTCTTATGAGTTTTATGGAGGTGAAGTTTAAAATCTCAAAATTTATAAAACACTATTTTTTAAAGAATTTTTCGAAGTTATTATAAATGTAAGTGTTAATTTAAGTGAATGTCGGATATAATCGGAGAACTATGAAATATGTTTTCATTTTAGAATTAGCTGTGCGGTAGGAATTGTGTGTGAAAATGGGCGTACCCAGCTACTGGAGCGTTTCCTGGGGTAGCGAGACAGATAGGGGATAGAGACTCTTCCTATCCGGGATTGACGAGAATCAGTCAGATTGACTTCTGGCCCAGGGGCACATATTTTTTTTTATTTCTTTTAATTGGGATGCTTTGTTCAATCAATATCAAAATTATATGTATAATGTATCCTATAATAACATGCATCCAGGGGGAGAAACTGTCCCCTCCTTCCTACACGCCTCTGTATTTATATCATTTAGTATCGTATTTACAAATAAATTTTAAGTGCATATGATTGATACTCATATATTATAGTATTATAACACCGCCGCCAGATTTATCTGGGAAATCCTGAGAAATGACAATGCATGAGGGCTGTCTCGATGCGTCACAATGTTTTTTTTTTAATGGATGATAATGGAATGGTGCTCCCGCTTGCGCTAACGGTGTTCACTAGCAGGGCACCAGTGGAGGATGATATGATGAGAATGGGGTCAGGTCAGTTTGCCCATCATGATTAAATAACAGGAATTAATCACGATGGTTTCCAGGGGCTACCGCATGGAAGTAGATCTGACATGGTATGTTGCTAACAATAGAGTTTCTGTTCATGTATATAGATGACAGTTGTCGCTCTTCTAACAGGTGGACTGACCCTCCGATCTATGAACGACACGGGGATCGATATTACGACGGCCTGAGCCGAGATTCGAACCCCTAATGTGCCCTCAGACTAAAGTCGTATCCGTCAGGCGAAAGTTGGCCTTCAGCCGCTCCATAAGTCTTTCCGCGAGTTTGGAGTGCCATCTGCACGCGCCCCCTATCGTCTGGTGAAGCTGTAAAGGCCAGCTGCGGCCAACAGCATTAGAGTAGTCCGAAAAAAAAAGTTGGACTGTCATATTGTGCGTATTGTGCCATTCCAGTCATAGAAACTATATTGTCATTTCTTTTTATCGAAAAAAGGTGCATAAAATTAAGTATCTATATGTATTTATATAGAATATCGATACCATAAATAATGGGATTGAAATAAAGCTATTGTCTTGCCATAGATTATGATGAGTTCTGTGAAATTTCAGTATATATGTAGGAAAACTTTTAAATTGCATTTCGATAGCGTTTAAACGTTAGTCTACTTGTTCTCGCCATTTGGTGAACACTGCCCTTAATTGAATTAGAAGAGAAAAACCAACGGACTCCAGAGGAGAGGTATTAAATATAGAATATAGCAAATCATATTCAAGAGTTATTTTTTTTAGAAATGGGAATCATTGAACTGGCAGTTTTTAAAATGTCAACGTAGCCGGAATTGAAAACAATTGCAAATATTGTTATAAAAAAAGTATGGCTGTATTTTTTCCCTCTTAAAGTCCGCTTGTTTTTGTCTATGGTGAATACTGGCTATATTATAAATTCGTCTATGTATAGATATAATGTATGTCTCTCATTTTTTTTTACTATTATTAGTATGTAGGTATTTGTAGATTATAGGAATTGGATCAATGTGATGGTTTCTTTTGAACACGTGGAATTGCGAGTTGTACATAGGTTATTTCTGTAGATTATAAACTATGAAGTATTGTCTGAACTTTGCAATACCTATGTTTTTATTGTAATAAATTGTTTGGAATTTGAATATGATTGTTTGGTATGGTTTTTGATAGACCATTTATTTTTATTTAAACCTAACATAATCAATAAAAACAACTTTAGTACTTATCTTTATTGTTTGTAAATAAATTACTTAGGTATGTTCATTAGAAACAATGTCAACAAAGGAGGACTTATCTGTAAAAGAGATCTCATCCGGTCAACCCAATACAGCGTGATATAGGAAGTGTTGGGTGGGTCAAAATTTGCAAGTAATAATTTAATAATGTATATAATAATATGAAGTTCTCGCTCAAGTCAATATAAACGCTCATAGAAAAGAAAAATTGGCAAAAGAAACGGATAAATTCACTTTAGAGCTGTCCTTTGTAGTCCAGATCATTTTCAATCAACATGTGGACTGTATACATATATACATTATGAAATATTATTTATTATATCCTCAAAAGGATTACAGAAGAACAAAATAATTAGTAATAGATCAGTGTAATAGGAAGATAATCCAATGTCGAAAGAAGTTTATGTTTGTCGCCTTTTTAAAATTTTCAAAATTCACATTGCAATTTGATGACATTTACAAAACTGAATGCCTATTTTTGAATAAAATTGTAAAATATTTATTAAACCTATCCTGGTCCTTTATCGAAGATAACTAAATGCATGAAAAATAATATACAAAACAATTTTGAGTGTTTATTTTGGAAATTACATCATTAGAATTAAATTGTTATTTCCAAAATTTACATTTCCAAATGACACCTCAATGTTAACAACAGAATAATGCATCTACGTACATTGATCATAAGACACAGTTCACCTAAACAGGAGCTGCTGGAGGGTATGAGTGAGGAAGAGGCGCGCGCTGAACGCAAGCGGCGCCAGAAGCTCGCGCAAGAGGAGTTCCGACTGAAACAACTCACGAAACACAAGGCAGGACATGGTTAGCAAATTTAATATCCTTCCCACTGGTTTGGTCCCTTTCAAAATATATATATAACTCACTGAAACATATCAATTTTTAAAAATTATATTTTAAAAATAAAACTTTAGAGTGCACCTTCCACAGTTTGTAATTTTTGAGTAAATTCACTATTGTACTAGGTGTGCGATATATATGTATACTAGCTGTTCCCGCGACTTCGTCCGCGTGGAATTTAACTTTATTTTTCTAAACTAAAAGTAGCCTAAGTTACTCCTTATTACATTAGCTACCTACCAAAAAGTCCCACCAAAATCGGTCCAGCTATGTAAGAGATTAGCCGGAACAAACAGACAGACAAAAATTGTAAATAATGTTATTTTGGTGTATGTACGCTTGTAAATATGTACGTAGTGAAGTGTAGTGTAAGTATGTATATAGTGAAGTAAAACCTAGATATAGACAAGATACGGATTCACAACCGAAGCTTATAAAGGCCACTTCTCCTTTTGAGCGACTCAGCATAGATTTCAAGACCAGTCCCATCTAATACAATGAATATTAAAATACATACTCACAATAGCAGATGGTATGACAGAACTCTATCCTTAGTATGTTTGATACTCAATAACGGTGATACTGTTATAAAATGACACATCAATTTCTTTATATACATATCAATTTCATTAAGTGTAGACAATTAATTTCCGCCAAATATATACAAGAAGTATATTTTAGTAATTTTGTGGCAAAGTTTCATTTGTAGAGCTTATGTAATTTGTTGTTTTTATATGTAACAGAAAGTAACTTTCCTAGTTGTTTTAATTTACAGAATAGTTTTTGATTGCTTATTTCTAGATAACAGTAATTCGTCGTCAGGTTACTCCTATTGCGACTGACTGCTATGAACTCCAATTGGCGCATTTGGTTTCTACACCCGGCTCTCTTCGGAGATGCACATTAGGGTAACCTGACAATTAATCTACTGTATATCAACGGCCTAAGCTGGATAGATGACGTCTTAAAATAAATAATATAGGATAAGTGATCGTTTGTTACTCGTTTTGCTACATTAAATTACATTTATTTTTATTTAAGTTTTATTATTTAACCTATTATATTTTAATATTTGTTTCCCGGTCTTGGGTTTGCTAGAGAGGCACCTGTATTCTCTCGTTTGAACGTTCCCATGGGAATTTCGGGTTATTCTTAGCAGATGTGTAGACCATACAAAAAACTTACGTTGAAATTTTCAGCGCTGCTTTCCTCAGCTGTTTGGCCCATGTATTGATAGCAAGTGTATTTTAAGTATTTATATTAGTTGTGTAGTACCCAAGATCTGTTTAGCTTGGGACTAGCTGGCGCTTTGTATAGTCCAGGGTTATTATTAGTTCGGTGGACTAAAGTACGTCGCCTCTATATTCTGAAACAGTTTGCAAAGCAAACCGGCACACAGCAGAAATAAAGCACCCACGAAGACGTAGTTACATCTGGTATATCTACAACTACCTTCCCTTGTCTCCAGATAGTAAACAAGACTTGAGCAAATCCTGCAGTTTCGACAACTTGTTACTGGGTATACCCACACAAGATATAGTTATAGAAGAGAGTGGCGTCGCAGCGAAAACTGCAGAGAATGGTAAGAGGAAGTCGCCGGTGTCAGAGGGGAATATGGCCAAGCGACGGCTGAGCACCATTAACAAGTTAGACGTTATACAATCAGAGTAGAGGCCATATATCTTGAGAGCAATATTGTACTGGGATGCTTCCACCCATCCCCCAATATAAACGAATGGTCATAATGGGATTTCCAGCACATATATTACATAAAAAAGTTCTTACAATATATCAGAGTACCTACCGTTTCAGGCCCCTGGTAAATTCATCGGATGCCTCCACCCATCCCCCCAATATAAACGAATGATCACAATGAGATTTCCAGCATAGATATTACGCAAAAAAGTTTTTACAATATTAATGCCACATTAATATT